CTATTCCGGAATTCGCGTTATTCCGCTTTTTTTGGGGGTTTGGGTTTTTTTTTTATGAGAAAGCTCAAAAAAAAAATTTTTTTCGTAGATAAGGAACCAAAAAAAAAAAAAAAAAAAAAAAAAAAAAAAACAACTATTACTCACAAATTATTCCTAGCCTCACTAGCCCATGCACGAGCTGGTAATACCCGAGAGGTTAGCTGGAGCAGGAGCTCGGTATCTCCAAAGTAGCACCTAGCAGAAGAAACAGTTCGGCTGAGGAAGACGGGTTCGATCCTCCTGCCCCTTCCTTGCCCTCTCGATCCTTTTTTGTCCCGTTCTCGCGTTCTCTCACTCTCCCGTTATAACTGCTTTTTACCTCCTTTTCTCCAATGGCCTTTGCTTTTTTGGGTGCACTGGTGATTCTGCGACTTTGGCTCAAAGCATAGAAAAAGCTGTCAATCTGCTGGTCTGTATGCAGAATCGCTTTTCCTGAAAAAAAATAAAGATCCCACCCAACCCCTGATCACGATCTATATGTCACGTGATCTACATCCGTACATCTCTTATCTGACTAAACGCGGGGCTTAAGCAACAGAAATTAAACTTCAAGACCACAGAGGACCAGAAGGCATTACATTACCTTACCATAGGACCACCGCAACCCTACGAGACACTATTAGTTCGTCCTGACCACCACTGTATAGCCTTTGTCTTTCTATCCAGCTTCTTATGACTTCAGATAAATTTGCGCTTGAGATCATCCAGAGCACTCTCTCAGGCTTGGGGTACTCGGCCACTGCTAAACGTTTGAACGAAGAAATTGAAGAGAAGCAAGGTTCAACAACCGCCAATCAAATCAGCTTGACCCCACCGGAACTGCTGTTTAAGAGTTGGTTAAAGGCTGAGCTCTTTCAGGGGACTCCATACAAAGAGGCAATTGAGAAGCTAGAGCACTTTATAGAGCATGGCCAGCATCCCTTGCAAGAGAGCTCGCTGGACGTTGATGTTGGACTTCCGAACAAGCTAGAAGCCACCGTCATTTTATACCTCATAAGGAGAATTTTGTTTCTACTGAGCGTAGTTGGGCTTTCTTATACCCCATTATCGCCTTCATCTCCACAATTCACTTCTCAGTCGGTACCAATCGAGTCGCTACTCACCTTCTTGACGTCTGATCTCTTGCCACTTCTAGATAAGATCCAGTCGGTTGCAAACTACCGTCAGGAATTGTCTGCTTTTCTTTCTCACCAGCTAGTGAAGCTGCTCACAAGAGAAAGAGAGAGCGCTGTATTGATGCCCTTGGTGATTGGCTCACCAATACACCCGCAGAAGTTTGCGCTGACTGTATTCAATTTGAATACGTTGCTTGCATCTCCGTTGACGCCAAGAAGAGATGACATTATAGTATCGCCTACATATGAGTCAGATATTGGCCTACTTACTGAAGTCTTGGTATGGGGCTATCTAGAAGCTTATCTATCCAACGACCTGGAGAAATCCACGAAAACATCTGTGCAAAACAGTACCACTACTTTGAACAGTTCCCATATCCCGCAAGGCTATTTGAACCTGCTCCTTACGCAAGCCTCATCCTTCCAAAGAATTGTTTCTCCGTATTACCTACCTTCAAGGACTTCACCTGAACTTCCTTCTACCATCATTCCGCCTTTCTCTGCCAATCAAACGTTGAAGAACAACTTTCCCACATCTCTTATTCACACATTAAACACTCACACCAGCGAGATCTGGTTTGTCAAGTTTTCTCCACTGGGTAAGTATCTTGTAACTGGATCTAAAGATGGCAAGATGATCATATACGATGTTACACGACCCAAATTCCCGATTCTTGCAAGCTTCAGGGCAGATGATCCAACAGACACACATGCGTTTGTGGGATCGTACAAACCGACCAGGAGGAATGATCCACTTGAGCAACGTGGGGTAATTTACTGTAGTTGGGATGAAACTGAAAATTATATAGTCTGCTGTGGTTTAGATACGATCGTGAGAGTATGGGATGTTTCTGCAATTAAGAATAATAACACAGAAGCTCCAAAAAGGATCACAAGATCTATGGATTTGGGCGAAGAACCTTCAGGCATAGAATTAATTTCATGCTTTACACTAGGAGAAAATATCAGAGTTAGAAGCTGCCAATTTATTCCAAGACAGGTGAATAACACACGGTGGCCCTTGCTGTTTGTTGTAGGATCACCCGATAAGGCGTTAAAGATGTTCGATCTCTTTGGTAACGAACACTTTGATTTCTTTTGCGACACCACTGATACAGACAACCAAACTGACGAAATCAAAATGGAAGAGGAAGAAGTAGAGCAAGTAATAGAGAAGAAGGGATCCACCCCTTCGAGGAGATCGACTTCGACTGGTACCACTACAGCATCAGCGGGTACCGTTTCTTCTTTAAGCCCTCCCTTAGCCGCAGCTACGCTAGCATCTGCAGCAGCAGCATCATCATCTCCACCGCCGGCTCCTTCAAATACCAATAACGTCAATAGTGCCAGTAGCACATCTAAATTCCTTCAGAGCAGTTTCAACAGAGTGATTGACTTTGAAATCACTCCCGACAAAAAGATTTTAATCACTGCCAACAATGATAGACTGATCCATTTCTACACAGTGCCAGACTTGACCAAGGAAGTACTAAAATCTCTGAAACTCGCTTCAATAAACTTAAAGGGAAAACTAAGCTCAATATCTGTTTCAGCAAATGGAAAATACTTCTTGGTGAACGTTTCACAAGAGCTTCAACTCTGGGATATTTCTGAGATTCAATACTCCGGTAAACCAATTCTAGTACGTAGGTTTATCGGCCACAGAGTGGAAGATGATGTCATAAGAGCAGGGTTTGGCTATTTGAACACATATGGAGGTGTGGGAGGTGACAGCGCTTTCGGAGAAGAGTTGGTGCTCAGTGGTAGTGCTGATGGTTTCATCTACATTTGGAAATTAACCACTGGACAGTTGATACAGAGAATTCAAGGTCATGTTGGTGTCTGTAGCGCTGTTGATTGGAACAGATTCTACACTCCTCAGCCTTCAGGTAAGGATTACGGACAACTTTGGTGTTCTATAGGAGATGACCATTTGGCAAAGATTTGGGGACCACCAGGTTGGAAATAAAAGAAAAATAGGAAGAGTAAGTGAAGTATAAAAATATAATTATTACATTCAGGTATTTTTTACCGGTAGCATTTATTTACTAGCTAAGTTTCGTATTTTCTTCTTTTTTTGCAGGAGATTTTTTGTCTTTATTTTCTTTTATTACTCTTACTCTTCCACGTCTCCTTTGGAACTACAATTCATCGTGAGCTTCTTCGTCATCACTGTCTTCATCGTCATCTTCAGCAGCAGCGTTAGCGGAGTCATCTCTCTTTTCTGATGATCCTGACTTCTTTGATTCTTCCAATGCCTTTCTTAACTTGTCACCGTCAACCTTGTTACCAGTGTTTTCGTTAAGGAACTCGATTAAGTCATCAACTTCTCTGGCCTTTTCGAAGAAAATTGGGGATCTAAGACCAGTAGCTTCATCGATTTCACCGTTGGCTGGGTACAAGACTAAAGTTGGGTAACCTTCAATTTTGAATGGAGTAGCGACATCATTGGCAGTGTGGTCAATGTGTGCAATAATAACTTCAGCATCTGGCTTGTTAGAACCGTAAACTTCAGCCAATTCTTCCCACTTTGGAGCTAAAGTCTTACAGTGACCACACCATGGAGCGTAGTACTTGACGAAGACATCCTTCGTGGTATCCTTGACTATGTCTGCATGGTTGTGACCAACCAACTTAATAACTGGGGTAGCAGCAACTTCTTCTGGAGTTGGTAAATCTTCAGACTTGGTTAATGCGACTAATTTGTCATCAAAGTAATCAGCAACAAACTCTTCAATTGCTTCAATTGATGGACCTTCTGGGAACTTGGTTTGATCAATACCATACTTAAGATTGTCAGCAACCTTTTGGATAGCGAAAAGTGGGATAACATCTGGGTTCATGTTTAAGATTTCAGCGTGTCTACCGAATTGAACAGCGTCTAAACCAACAAAGTTGATCTTACCTCTGTGTTGCTTACCCAACTTGTTGAAAGTTTCTTCAACCTTAGCCTTTTCTTCGGCAGTGTTGTAGAAGTAGTAACCAATTGGTAATGGAGAGTTCATGTACAACATGTAAGTGTCTCTATTAATTTCACCGAAGTATGGGATGATTTCGGTATCAATGAAGGAAATTAAGGATTCTGCGGTGAGTGGTTCCTCGTCTGAGAGAAGAGTAGCATCATCAAGGGCATTTGGACGAACAATGACGTATTGTGGTAATTTGGTCTTTTCCTTTAATTCAGCACCGCTGATCAAATCTTCGAACTCAGAGACAAGTTCGTCACCAGTGATAGAGACAAAGGAGACATCCTTTCTCTTTGACTTGGCAACGGTTTCGAAAGTTTCAAGGTTCTTCTTAGCACTCTTCTTAACCTTCTTTGGTACGATTTCGACGATGACTGGTCTTTCACTAGCGATTAAGATTTCCTTCAAGGCTTCAACGGTTTCTGGCTTTTGAACAACTGGCAACGTTTGCTGGACCATGAAATCAACGATTCCTTCAGCAGTTCTTTGCCCTTCGTAATCTTCAATAGCGTCGGTAGAACCATGGATAACCTTCAAAGATGGGTAACCCTTGATACCGTGCTCTTGACATAAAGCTTCTTCTTCAGTACAATCAATTTGAGCCAACTTGATTGTTGGGTGACTGACATTAAGCTGGTCAGCAGCCTTAGAGAATTCAGGTCCCAAAACCTTACAGTAACCACACCATGGGGCAAAGAATTCAGCAAGTACCAATGGGTTTTCTGTGATGAATGATGAGAAATCATCAGCAGTCAACTTGACAACTGCAGAGTTTGGGTCTGCGGCAGCTTCACCGTCGGTTGGGCCAGATGCTGAGACAGCAGCTAAAAGGGAAGCCAAGGCAGTGAGTGAGTATCTCCAGAATTTCATACTATATATGTGTATATATTTAGATGCTAATAAGTATTAATGACAACGTATTAATAGCTCTAGAAAGGAAAGGATAAGAGGGTAAAAAATATTTGGAATTTTCCACCTACTCAGCGTTTACAGTGGTTTATATAAATGCACGCGCAAAGTTGAATGCGTGTTCGCTTACAAATTTCATCAAGTTGGTTATTATGACACGTAGACAGAGAAGAAGCTAGAAAAAAGGGGCGGTGCTCGCAACCGAAATTACCTAAAGCGGACCAAATTAATGCTGCAGTTTTTGCTACGATAGATGGAGAGCGGGAGAATAGGTGTATGTGATTATGATGATGGGCTTGTATTAATAATCCGAGGCGTGGAAGGTACAGTTGATGATTCGGTGATGCTGGGAGGAATATAGATATAACAGAAAATTAGGAAGAATTGGATTCTGCAGGAAAAGAGAGGGAGAAGTATATGTTTTGAATGCACCTTTGGAGTAAATAGTGGTCTCTTTTTCTTGTAGTTGCTCAGAGAAGTGGTTGCATTTATTCTTATCGGTGTGAAGGCTCGATCCGGAGAGAACGACATTAAGATGTTTTTCTTGAATGCTTCATTATTATGACGTCGATTAGAAGAATTTACAGAGAGAGATCGATTCTGAGATGCTTACTGACAGCTTCTTCCTAAATAGTTAGTGCTCAAGATATACATGTATATATTTCTATACATACGTATATGCTTGAATACTCGATTTTGAGAGAACGACTATAAGATGATATTCCTAAGCGACTAGTTCGATGCTGCATTGATACGTATAGATATGAAAAATTTGATTCTGAGAGCATTACACATTACTACACGCTTCTGTAACCTTACAAGTATAGGCTCAGCTTTCTGGCAGGTAAGATATCTCTGTAAGTACTTCAGCTTTTCACCAATTGTAATGCAAAACGGCTTATAGTGGTGCATTGTTGTTTCTGAGACATGGCTCAATTCGGATTCTTCATCCTGAAAGTGGACTAGATTTACAGTACAGAACCTGGAAACTTTCATGTAATTTGATTGTGTTGCACAGAGTTGAATTGTGAGTTTCTAACTAAATCATTTGGGAAAGCACCTACTATGCTAAGCTTATGTATTTGAAGGTGCTGCTTCTTTGTTGATAGTTCGAGAAACATTTTTCTTCAGATGTATATTGATACTATGACTTCGTTAGTTTCTTTACAGAATCCAGTGCACTTCTATACATCTCAGTAATGCTTGACCAACTGTTCTAAGAGATCTTTCTTCTCTTGACTTTCGAATATCATTGTTTTCTTTGATATCAAAAGCAACCTTTTCCTTTTTAAGCCCATGCTCAACTATGCTTTGACCTACATTTCCTCTAAAAAGCTTGAATAACTCCTAATAAATACATTTATTTAATCTATAATCAGAGAACTTCACCTGGAAGTCACCATGAATACACTACAACGCACGCTTCACTCCATCGTCCTTCTTTCAGCCCTTAGAGTGATTTGTTTACTATTTTTTTTTGATATTTACTCTTCTTCATTTTTTTTATTTGCTTGCTTTCCAAGTCCAACTTTGTTTACCCTTTACCACCATAAAAAATATCTCGATTTAAAACCTGAATTACTAACATGTACCTGTCTCACCAACTCTTCCACAATATACCCCTCTCAGCAGCTCTTCCTCCATTTACCTATAACAAAGAATTATGCAACATTTATTGAACTTCGCAATCACATTAAAATCCAATGAAATCTCGCCAGGTACCCCAGTTTTGCATTTCAACGTCATAAATGTATGCCATAGAGTGACGTAAAGAACTTTGCAAGTACTGAGGTTGATAGTCATAAATGAACATCACTAACCCCCAAGTCAATACAGCAAAATATTTCCATGATTTGTTGTAAACCGATTGCCTAAGACTCTTCTTTTGGTTTTCACTCAAATCTTTAAAACTGACTAATTCTGAATGAATTGTAAATTTGGGTTGCCTACAATTTAAGTAATGATCTAACAAAATTTTACCGCCAGCGAGCAACACACGTGAAAAACAATATAAGGTGATCTGATGCGTGATACCTGGATGGAAGTATGAGAAGTGTTGTGAGTAAACAATCCAAGAACCGAAGGCTCCAGCAAGGAATTTAATTAAACCTGAGTTTTGAGACCCGAGAGCCAAATCTTGTTCCAAAATTTTACAAGCTGCCTTATAGATTATCGCGAAGGCAGCAAGAACCAGAGCGTGGTCCTTGGTTGCCTTCAACACCAGGGCTAACCTTGGGCGTAGAGGGCCCGAACGATATAATAAATTGATAACCAAGGCATGTGAAAATCTCAACTTCCCACCATAGACTATACCATTACGAGACAGGCGTAATATTTCAAGAATTGGTCTGGCAGCGGCTGAGGTTAATAGAGATGACATGGTTCTATTCCAAAATAATCTATACGACGAGCTATTGTCAATAATTTATGGTGCAGTTTAAAAAAATCTTCGATTCGATTTTTCACCTATATAAATAACACGGGAGGGACAGAGATGAGATTATACTACCTAGTAACCTGGTTTCTGCTATACGTGTGGAGGGGAAAAAAAAAAACGAAAAAGAGAAGAAGCTTTTCCAAGGGTTTATTATAGGGAAATGTTTTTGTGGGGTTGAACATGAACAAGATTTTGCTCGGTGTTATATACAGGAATGAACGAATAATTGGAGTGCGTGTAGTGTGGACCGTGGTTGTGCATGGGAAGGTGCAAGTGCCGAGAGAAAGCGAGCACCAATGGTGTACCAGGGTGGACTGGCGAGTAACAACGTAGAGATTGTTACTGGAGAGTACGAGAGAGTGTGAAATGGAGAAACATAGAAATAGAAACGGAGCTGGAAGAGTTTACCAAACGTGGACATGCACTAGAAGGTAAAAGGCTCTATGTATGGGTGGCCGCCCTGGTGCCTAACTACACTGGACGGTGCTCACGTTCTCAGATTTACATATTTTTCAAGCTGGGCAGAATACTGGGGGAATCTCGGAAAAATCATTAAATCTTGTTGAAGTGGTAGTGGTAGTGGGGCCAGAGGGTTAGAAGGGGGGTTTTCAGGAGAGGAAGAGAGTACCTGCCGTCTAGCTGTGTCCTACCTTCCAGTGTAGAAGAGTTCCACCTAAGTCTCATCTTCCTCTAGCCCAGCGTGACCACTGTGAGCGTATTCCCATTTTCCAACCTGATCCAGTGGACGCTTTAGTTTAGAGGGCCTGCATACTTGAAATTGCACGTCACAAAACAGGAAAGAACGTACCCCTAGGCAGACGAGGTCTGTGGGCCAAGGTAGCGCTGTGTACGGTGAAGTGGACCAAGAATGAAAAAATAAGAGAAAAAAAAGATAGTAAAAAAATAACACCCAAACTCAGAGTACGAAGCACCATAAGCTAAACTACAGCACGGTAAAAGGAAGAATAGAGCCCTGATTCTTCGGTATACGTGGACACTGTGCCTGAGAAATTTCAAGAGATCTGCTGAAACTCTCTCTCTCCCCACTCTCGTCCCCTCTCGATTCCAGGTGAGGTGCCTATCCTATTGAATTACCCTGTCATGCACCCTATTAGAGCGCTCTTAGAAAATTTCACCATAGCGACCTGGAAAGTGAAAAATTAGAGCCAAAAAAAAAAGAGAAAGAATTCAGGCTCTACATAATAAACGCAGTGTTATCTGCCGTACTCTTTCCTCTACTCTGTGCGCGCGCGCGCGTTGCGCTGCTTTGGCCCTACTCTCTCCAGCTGTAACAAGACAAGTACAGAGGATGACCCAGAGAGCACCACCAGTGATACCAGTATTCGAAGAGCCCTCTAGCACAATACGGGGATCTTGTGAATACCCATCACCTCCATAATTGACTACACTCTTGATCTTGATACAACAGTATTAAAGCAGTGGATCTCCGCCCACACTGTACTTTCTCCAGCTCTCTTCTTCTTCTTCTTCTTCTTCTTCTTCTTCTTCTTCTTCTCTCTCTCCTACTCTCCAACTCTCAAGCGCTCGTCTTCTTTTTCTTTTTCTTCCTCGCCAACTCTCCCACCTCGTTTCGTTACCACCCACCAATTTTTCTCTCTTTTGTGGTTTTTTGCAGAAAAATTTTCTACATTTTTTTTTTTACATTTTTTTTTTTTTTTTTTCACTAGCCTTGAAAAGTTTCACAAAGATTTTTTTCGTTCTTCTTCTTCTTCTTCTCCTTCCATTTCAATTAGGTTCATCTCGTTATAACGATAACTTTATAAACAAAGGTTACCTTGACTGTAAACATGTCTCTTGCTGTTTCATACGCTAACGTAGCTGCCAAGGGTAGTGAACCCACGACAAACGAATCGACGGCTAGCCCCGATCTCGAGCAAATAGAGAAGGTCGCCTCCACCTCCACCTCCACTGAAGCTGAAGCAGTCGTTTCCACTGAAGGTGAATCTAGTTCGACCTCTCAATCGACCACCGAAGGATTAGCCGATGAAGGTGCCTCAGAATCGAATTCTGGATCTTCACCTACCGCTTCCAGTGCTGGAGCCTCCGCTTCTTCACCTGCCGCTGGCGAGTCCAAATCCAAGAAATCTCTCGCCCCTGCTCCTGTGCCCGCCAAGTCCGCTTGGGGTGCTTCTTCGTCATCCTCGTCATCCACTACTTCCACCTCTGCATCAGTTGACGAGAATAAGTGGCCCACTCCTGATAAGGTCAGCGTAAGTGGTCCAACATCCGTGCACCCACAGAAATTCATCAAGCCCATCACCAACAAATGGGTACCAATCAACGCCAAAGTTGTATTGCCAAGCCCAAAGAGTGCTGCTAAAGTCCAAAATAGAAATAGAAAGAATAAGAAGACCCAGCCAAAGAAAGTTGGTGGTGCTATAAGCAAAAAGAAGACTGACGAAGAGGAAGCGCAAGCATCTGCTGGAACGTCAGCTAATGCTGTCCCAGCACTGAGTGCTGCAGGTTCAGCTACTGAAGGTTCATCTGCACCAGCTGTAACATCTACCGATAGCAATGGATCCAGCTCTGGGGGTAAAGGCTTCAGAAAGTTCAACGGAAGCGCTAATGGATCCGCTCCATTTGTCCCAAGATTCACTCCACAACAGGGTCAAGTCAATGGACAAATAAATGCACAACAGGTTCAAGGAAACGGTCAAAACGGTCAATTCTTTCACCCTCAACCATTCAACCCAAACTACTATAACCAGAACCGTCAGTTTAGACCAAGAGTCCAACAAGGACAAGGACAAGGACAAAATGGATTCCGTCCTCACCATCAACAACAACATCAACAAAGAAATTTCCGTCCAAATGGTCAAGGCTACCCAATGGACCCAAGTGCAAACGGAGTTTTTATTCCACAGGTTCAAATCCCACCACCAATTTCTCCAAAGCAAGATCCACAACAAGCATTAATTCAACAAATTGATTATTATTTCTCTCTTGAGAACTTGATACGTGATATTTACTTGAGGAAGAACATGTTGGAAGATGGAGGATGGGTACCATTACTGTTGATTTTAGAATTCAAGAGAGTTAAGATTATCATCAACGGAATTCAAAACAGTTCTGAGGAAGGTGTCGACTCCAGTGCGATCATATTGGATTCAGTATCCAAGTGCGGTAATTTAGATGTTAGATATATTAACGGGAAGAGTCAAGAAGATAGTAAGATTGAAGATGTTGAGTTGAGAGTGAAGGACAACTACGAACAGTGGTTATTACCCCAACAATAGATTAAATTAAAAGAACAAAAGAAGTCATCCCAATTATTTTTAATCTGTTAGAATTTGAAGCAACTCGGACAAAGAGTACAAACAGTAAATAATTCAAACAACTCGTTCAGTTACTTCAAATTTCAGCTCACTGAGTCCATTATTATGTCATTATTTATTAGCATCCATGACCTTTTAAGTTAAAGGTTTCCAACACGAACAAAAAGAAAAAGAAAAAGAAAAAGAAAAAGAAAGACGTCCCAGCAAGACTGAAGGTATCAATGATTTCGAATTTGCTGATTTTAAAACACGACCATGATCTGTGCTTTAATGACAGCAAAACGTTGTCAATTTTACCTTCGAAAGGAACATCAGGACATTGAATTATACCAAAATCAACTTAGTTTAAGTCCATATTATAGATTTCCCCCCAAAATATATCAACTTTGCTGGGATTATCAACACCTATTACTCTTAAAATATCCAAAAGCAAAAAAGCAAAAAAGCAAAAAAAAAAGCATAAAAACACCATAAAACTAACAAACGTTCAAATATCTAAAAAATATATATACCTACAAAAAAATCGAAAGGAGCAATTTCATGCTCTTTATTATAACTTTATCGAAATTGTTTCCTTATCCTCTAATCATTAATGTTTGCCATGAAGCCTATACATAGATTTTATAATACTTTACCATACTTTTTTTTTTTTTGCAAATAGATAGCAGCTTTAATAATACATTTATTAAATATGATATGATGGAGTTGGAATCTCTAGATAATAAAATATTTGATTTTTATATACAATGTGAAAAGAGCACCCTTCTAGCTGTTCTTTTAACGATTAAAGTATTGTGTACGGATTTCTATGTGCATTTCCATACAAATGCTGTATCATTTCTCTTCAAGATCAAGATGTGAGTGCTCTCAGTGTGTAAGCTTAAAGCGTCCCAGTTCTGTAATTTTGCTAGTGACATGGAATGGAAGTCACTGCCAACTAGGAATGATTTGTACATTTGTGTTGGCCCACATTCGTCCTGAGGAAATGGTATTTCATATGAACTTATGTAATCCTCTACAGTGGTAGTTATTTGCACAGAGTTTAGGAGCACTAGGCCCAAATACTCATATATTTCCAGCGGACTACCGCCCTCGCTCTCAAGAGCTGAAGCACATAAGGAAAGCACATCATGCGGGACATTCAACTGCTTGCATTGCAGCTCGATTACCTCCAGTAATAAACCATAATCCAGCACTAGCTTCCTTGTAATTTCAGTAGACAAGTCATTGGTCGATATGCAGATTTGCACAGAGTGGAAAATCTTATCTACTATGTGCTTTACTTTCACAAGCTCTGCTTCCCTGAGCTTGGTCAAATCTACCACTATAGATCTACTATAGGTGACTTGTTGTTTAGAGCCGTGGCCCCTTTTAGTAGGAGCCATTTTGGTGATCTTTACGTAGTCATTTGGTTGTAGAGCAGGCACTCTTTGAAATGACTGATGCGTAAGTTGAAGATGCAATTTTGATGTGAGACTATTGTAGGAGATGATGTCGTGAGTATGGACCGAGTTGTCAACCAGTATAGAGGAACCATTGTTAATTTGTACTTGACTCTGTGGAACAGCTCTTAGAAAGAGACTTATTGGTTCTTTAATAAAGCTTTCCTCGAGTAATTTGGAGATCAATGTGAATGATGTAGCTGAGAATTGGCTATTTGAGCTAACTTCCACCACAGATGATGCCAAAATTTCAACTCTGCTAACCACAGGATTATTTTGCAAAATGGACTGTAAAAATTCGTCTGAATACTCTACACAGGTATAACTATACGTCATTTTTTTAAAATATCGAGTAATGCTAATAAAGAGGCCCACAATTACGGCTGAAGAAAGTTGCAAGCGTCAGCAGCGTTGTACTCATCGCTATCTCTTAGCGATGGAGTTGAAAAATATAGCAATATGCAGGATCATCAATGAGTTGCACTATTATGATCTTTATTAAGTACTCTAAAGAAACTAGGCTACTTTCTATACAATTATTACCAATTAGTGATATTTTGCTCGGCTTCCCCAAATACGGAGTTACCACCGTTATCAACTCCATGTACAAATTTTTCCCAATCCAAAAACAATTCAGATTCTGGGACTTGGTAGTACCCAGGCAATTTGGTTTGCAAGAATTCGGTGCAATATTTATCGATAATCTCGAATTCCAACAAGAAGGCGTCATGACCTTCGGGTGAGTCTAACTTTTTCAACTGTGAGTCAGGGATATATTGGCCCAAGAGTTGCTGTTCTGAGTAAGTGAAGAGCCCATCGGATTGGATACCAACCACAAGGTGAGGCTTCGTGAGTCCTTGCAAGAACTCAGGCAATGGATCCACGGCGGTATCTGGATCTATTCTGCCTCGCGTGATATCGTGAGTGTCGAGTTTACGAGTGATCGAAATATAACAATTGGCATCAAATCTATTTACAAACTTGGTTCCTTGGTAACGGAGGTACGATTGAGCAGTAAAATAAGTCTGGGGCTTGCTTGATCCATTCGAGGAATTAGAAGTCTTTTGGAGTGCAGACTTTCCCTCGTTGTGGAGTAACCAGTTTTCTTCATCTTTGGTCTTAGGGTACCAGATTGTTTCATTGGGGATCTTTGTAGAGGCTTGTTGAGGGTTCAGCACAGAAGGTAAGTTTCTACCAAATCTCGTTTCAAATGAATTTCTCGATCTATAAGTTAAAAGTGCAGCCATTCTAGCTGCACTAAGACCAGATTTTGGTGTGACACCAGTGGGGTTTTGAAAATAGTAGCCGTCGTCGTAATTTGGATCGCTGAAAATACATTGACGTTGTGTCTCGTTCCAGGAAATACACCAGGCAGAGGCTCTAGCCAGTGTTGCCAATGCAATGATGGACTTCACATATGTATCTGGGTAAGTGGCCGAGTACTCTAAAGCGATCATTCCACCCATTGATCCACCAATTACACAGGCAATGCCCTTAACGTCAAGAGAGTCCAAGATGAGCTTTTGGATGCCAATGTCATCCTTTACTGTAACCAAAGGAAATGATGGGCCGTATGGTTTGCCCGTGGAACGGTCAATGGTTACAGGGGAACAAGATCCATAGGGAGAGCCCAAAAAGTTGATGCAGATAATGAAAAATCTCAGAGGATCGAACGTCTTGTTGGTTCCCAAGAGAGGTCCCCACCAATCTTGAACATCCGAGGAGCCGGTCAAGGCATGGCAGATTAGCAAGACGTTATCCTTAGCGTTGTTTAGTCTTCCCCACGTCTTGTATGCAACGGGGAATTTTTTCAATGTTTCGCCGCATTCTAACTCATACTCTGGGATCTCGACTATAGTCTGCCCAGGGACAAGTTTAGCGAAAGAGTTTGTGGAATTCTGTTCTTTGGTTATATCTTTATACACCGGGTTCGAGTTCTCACCGTTTGCGGTGCTTTCGGTGGACAACGTAGAGCCCTTGGTCTGGGAGTCAGACATCTTTATTAAATAGGATTTCAGTTAATGTGGTAAAGAAATGAAGAAAATTTTTTAGTTGTAAGATTTTCTTTCTTTTTTTCTTCTTTTTTTTCCCTTGCAAATTATCAGTACAATACGAAATGTTTAACTTTAAAGATCATCTAGCGAATATTACTTCTATACGACTTTACTGTGGCTAGATCAAAAGTTTAACAATTTTTCATTCACGGGCTCCCAGACGCTGTTTTATATTGCACTCCTCTGGAGGTGAGTGAGTCAAGATGGGGCAGTATGCAGGACGAACCGAGTGACCTGAGGAGCGAAGTCAGTGGAAGCTGTGTGGCTTAAAAGTAGAGCAGATCACTAGCTTGCGTAGAATGGAAACGACGGATGAAGATCGTGCATGGGGTTTGAGATAATGAGGATAAAGTATACTGAAAGAATTGAAAAAGGATCGAATAAGTACGAAAAAAGGGAAATCTCCGTGCAATTTAGTAGGCAGTTCGATGATAAGATATACATATATTTTTCCCTTAGTCTCTCGATTGACTCAGCGTGATGCATACGCCATGGTGAAATTTTGCAACCTTGAGCCGCACCTACACAACGCAAGGCATATTTAGCTACTTAATGTTATTCATATTCCTTTACTATCGTAGCTGTTTACTGTGAAAATTTAATCGTTATGACCTACTTAGTAGAATCTACAAGCTGCAAACCATACACAATTTAAATCTTTCATCGTTTATTCATAATTCGTAGTCATTTTACTATTGAGTAGTTCATCGTGAAAAATAATCATTATGATCTATTTTGCCAGCATCTTCCTCTTCTTCCTCCTCCTCTTCTTCTTTCCTTTGGTCTTCCAGGTCTACTCTTTCGTCGACTGCAACATCTCCATTTTCATCTCCGTTTTTAGCTTTTCTCACTTTGTCTTTCTCATACCCTCGACCATCCGCTCTTTCATCCATGATTTCATAGCTACGATCATTGTTACTAGATGTACTTGATTCTCCGCTTCCCATCTGACTATTCTCTCCACATTCTTCCGGCTCTTCATTATTATTCGTCAATTTAGCATCCATTGTATTCCCTTCTTCTTGCTCATCCGTTGCTGGTGTAAAAGGTGCAGAAATAATGTGATCCTTATTATAATCAAGATGCTTCGATATCAGTAGATTTCTTGCATACTCCAATTCCGAATAAATACACTCAATTGCGTTTAATACTCCATTTTCGTGTCGTATACGAGAACTGATCTTACGGGCCCTTTCAATCATCTTTTTATCAGTAGTCACGATCTTTAAACATTTAGAAAGTGACTTGGAGTTTAACTTTTTGAGACCCAACCCAACCTCAATATCCTCCACTCTCGAAGCATAAAAAAATTGGTCACCAAAGAATGGCTTTATAACGGTTGGGAGACCCGCTTTAAGAGTGGCACCAGTTGTTCCAGAACCTCCATGATGAACTGCAGCATCTATTCTCAGGAAGAGCCAGTCATGAGGAACATTCCCTGAATTGTAAACCTCGGGAGGAAGTTCAATCTCTGGTTCATTGGCGTCTTCATTTTTCGAAGTCCTATCTGACCAACCTTTATTTAAAATGCATCTGACATCCGAGCTTAACACAGCATCTACGACTGCCTTCGTAAGCTCTTTGGCATTCTTAACGACAATTGATCCGAATCCAATATAAACAATCTTTTTATTATCGTTCCTCGCCTTTTCCATGAACTCTACTAGTTTTTGGGGAGGTTCATAATTATCTTTCTGCAGTCCTTCCTCTAAAAACCAATACCCCGTTACCTTAATCCAGTCGGGGAAATCAACTGAAGGTGGATAAATTGAAGGTGATATATTATACAAAAATGGAACCTTACTTTGTTGCATTTTGTATAGATTCGTTCTAGGTATTCCCAACTCTTCCACTCGCCATCTATTAATCTGCGAGGAAATTCCCTTCCAAAACACAGTTTCAAACATGACATGAGTTAAGTAATTATATGATCCACTTCTTTTCTGATCCGGAACAATAAATGCATGCGGATAGGCTCTAGTTCGAGTCCACGGCATAGTGAATGCTCTGAAGTAAGGAATTCCTAATGCTTCAGCTATATGTAAACCTGCCATTGCAGAAGGGCTTTCTATGAGAATCTCGGTTCCTTGGCACGCTTCCCAGCTAGTATTTAATAGATCTTTGATCCAACCACGGAACTTGGCACTAGCTTCCTTTATGAAATTGACAGACATAGATCCATGGCTTACCATTAACGCCATTAACTCGGTAGGGTCTCCTGCTATGGGTTTGAAATTAATTTTATGCTTTATAATCCAATCTTTAAATTCGACATGAGTAGCAATTGTTACTCTATGTCCCTCTGCGATCAATCCTTTGGCCAATGCTATATATGGTTGAACATCACCCCTTGATCCAATTGTCAATAAAGTAAAGTTAAAGGATGTCGCCGGGCGTATTTCTGTTTTGAAGAAAGGTGAGTCTTCAAGAATTAAAGGCACATCTAATCCCATGGCGAAATTAATTTTATCTTCAAATAGTTTTATTCTTGCATTTTCAATCCTGGAGTTGGCCAGTCTGACAAAGGGCTTTTGAGAAGAATGAGACTCACTAGAATCAACCAGTACGGAGCTATCTCTTCTAGGGCGATCAGCGCTATGTTTCTTGTGAATATAGTCTATTTGACTCAAAAGCAACCCTTCGCAATCATCTCTTGCTTTTTGTGAACTAAATTCTATAACAATCTCTTCAAATCCTTTTATGACGATAGATAATCCAGAGTAATTAATAGAATGCCCCTTTCCTCGGTTGCAGTCTTCAATGTCTTCTAATGGCAATATCATTCGAGTTTTAACTCCAGGTAGTAAACTTTTAAAACAAAGACAATCACTTCCCATATACAAGCTACCATACACAGGAATAGATCTTTTCAAATGACAATAGTAGCTTGCTATTAGTTCCGTGGACCTTCTCAACTTAAAATAGTCAATAAAGTTGTTATAAGCACTTTCTCTTTCATCAGGCTCATTAACGAAATATGGATCATTTTCCATGTACTCCTTGTAATGATTGGGATGCGCAGACCACATGTGATAGACATTCTCGAAAGCTTTGAGTCCTTTCTTAAGTTTTGAAGATCTTTTCTTCTTTTGATCCAGTTCAAACTCAACTGGATCAGTTAAATTAAGAGGGTTGGTTAGCGAAACCTTGCTCTTATCGTCATCGAGACTCAAAATCGAGTCGCGCTTCAACAATTCATGCTTCTCGTTTCCATTTTCACTTATATCAGAGGCATTTGCATCACCTTCCTTATCACCAACTTCGAAATTCATCTTTGGATCTGCTTGCAGTGGAGAATCCACTTTATTGGCATACCTCGACTCCGCAACTTGTATATCTCGCGTCGAAGTTTCAAATGACATATTCAAATTTTTCAAACCTGTTACAGAAATCTGCCTTGGAAGTGTTAATCGTGAAGTCAGACTTGCGGATAAAGAATCAAGTTGAGCTTCAGAATTTGATCTTTCTAGAAATGGAGAAGGGCCAGCATTATCCAGTGGTGATGTTGCAGCTCTAAGTCTCCCTCCACCTGCATTGTTGTTACTACTTAAAATCTTCACAGGATTTACCAAAGATTTACTGATTTTTTTTATCTTTGAAGAAGAGCTCGAGTTTGATTGTGTAGAAGTATTAAATTCACAAATCAGTGAACTCAGTTGAGTCAGTGTTGTTTCATGTGTGCTGTTCAAACAATTTGAGTCTATTTTCCGATTTCGATCTTTAACTTCATCGGCTTGAGCCAGTTCTCTTAATTTGTTACTGTAACTCAAAAGAGAAAGTAATGTGTTATTTGATGGCTGCAAAGTAGAGACTGGAGAGGAATTCGATATTGTAGTCACACTCGGTCCAGTTGAAGCCCGTCTCAAAGATGACATAGAGCCAACAGACTCTCTTCTAACAATTTTTTTAGCTTTTTCCATCATCTTCTCAGATAAAGATGACTCTGTATTCGACAGAGTTTCATTTTTGCGGTGTTCAAGTATTATCTCCTTAAAACACTTCATGAAGTTTTCAGCTTCCCTGAAAAACATAAAACAAATTAGATCAACATCTTTTGAGCGACTTCCTCTTTCAATTTTTGTTTTAGCTTTCAATTTCTTCTTCATTCCTTCCTTCAGGAGCAATTTTTCTTCAATTGCATTGGAAGCCAAATAACTTAGTGTCAAGGAACTTGGAATTTCCACAGTAGAATCATCTACAGCTTCCTTCAGATTTCCATTCATTTTGGTACTATCCTCCAGCATGGCTCCATCGAACATAGTATGTCTTTCAAAGTCTATGACTTTATCAATTGGAATCTTACACAACACTTCATTTTTAGCATTGCTATTGTTCTTCTCAAATATTATCTTTGTCAAATTATTCACCCATTGTCTAGCTGAATATAAATTATCAGTGTGGAATCGATAGGTTTTCTTGGTAGTTACCAACTTAAACCAAACACCACCAGTGACACTTTCATTAATTTCCTCTATTTCATTAGATTTCATAGCCAATAACACACTAGCATTATCTGCATCAATATCCACCTCAGCTAAGGAAGTTGAGGAAGAAATAGACCTCGGTGACTGAGTAGCAGCATGAGCAGCTGGGGTATTTGAACCTGATTCAGTCATCATCGTAGAAGTTAAGTTATTGCTCCCTTTATCAACAACTTCAGCCCTTATACAAGTATTTAAATCAATTACTAAATTTGGGAAGTACAAATCTGTTGACGATGAAAATATGCTCAATGTATCTGGTTTAAGTATGGCCCAAAATCTATGAGTTAAGACAGTAGTGAGTACAGTTTCTACGTACTTTGCTGCTTTCATTCCAAGGGACCCGGTTTGTACCAGTTCATCTCCACCTTCATCATGCTTATGCCTATCTGGTAGAAAGGCAAAGAATAGTATATTTTTTTTTGTTAAATATAAGTGACCCTGCAATAATACATCTCTAACAAGCCAAGCACTATAATTTCCATAGAAAATATCATCGTCGTCTAGTTCGAAAACCTTTTGAAGCTTGTCAGCGATCTGTAAATAAAGCCTTTTTCTTTTGAAGTCAAGTTCATTCTGAGTACCAGATACACCATTCTTAGATTCTTCGATCTCAGTTTTTTTGAGCTTAACTAATATACTTTCTCGAAGAAAGTGGGGTACTATATTTTCGACTACAGACTTCTGAAAGGGAGTAGTAGCAACTGCATCACTCCGAAGCGACGATGAATTCTGAGATAAGCTAATTCCACTACCAGTAGCGCCTCCTATCGATCCTCCGAAAGTGCTACTACTGTGTAGACTATCACTAGTGTTTACAATAGAGCCTCTTCTAGCAGTTTGAACCAGCAGCGAGTCCTGCTCCTTTTCTAATTCGGCTTTATATAACTGATCAAGATCATTTTGGTCCCCTCCAGCAGCCAAACTTGCCAAAATCTTGGAAATTTTTCTCTCATCTTCCTCTGCTAAACTTCCTTTCAACTCGTGTGCCCTTTGAGCATCGTCAAGAAGCTTCTGTTGCCTCGCAACTTCAGCTTCCTCTTCTGGTGTCAATTCTTCTTTTTCTCCCTCCTTCTTTGTATAATTCTCCTCTAGGTATATCTCATGTGGGGGTCGTTCTGGATTTTGGGCTTCTGTCTCAGGTTCATTATCAGACCGAGGTTGATGTTTAGTAGCTGAACTTTTTCGTGTTCCGTTATTTAATCCAGCAAACACTTGTACAGACGATAAGATATTTACAAAGTAGTTCAGATTTTTCAGATTGTCAATTGGTAGGGCAGTGTCTATATCTTCTTCTTCCGTCAACGGAGAGGACGGAGCTAAAGCAGAATCCATGGAAAAGTCTTGCTGCATTTCCGTTGGCGGTGATGGAGGACCTGAATCTAGAATGGAGCCTGCCATTGGAAGAGTAATGGTCTGAGAAAACCTTTTATATAACTTCTTAAGGTCATTATATGAATTTTCTGGAGGACCTCGGGTCTCCTCCAGTGATATTTTCATCAGTCAATAGTACTGGGTAACAGGTGCTGTGCAAAGTTCTATGGTCTACTATTTGAAATTTCATATAGTTATGCACATAAACAAGAAAAATAATAAATAGCTTATGTCCTAACACCTTCTACTTAGCTAAAGAATAGAAAATTCCTTCAATTTCTATGTCCGACTCTTATCTAATCTAAAAATCAAAAAGAAAAACAATAACTGATTATTAACCATATATACTAAAACGGTAAACCCCAAGTCCTACTTAGCTATATGCCGGTATTTCATGTGCTCCACATTTCAGGGCCTCTTTGGAAAATTCGAGATGAGAATGAAACGTTAGATAACCTGCGGAATTCTGATTTCGGAAGTATTATTTGCCTTCAAGCTAAAACTTTCTTATTGTCTTTTGTTATGCGTGAAAAATAAAGTTTCCATCTACAGCTTTAATTTGTGGAACCCTCGGCTCTTTATATTGCTAGTCGTCGGTAGTCTAGATATGCTTGTAGCAATAGAGCAAAAAAGCGCCACCATCATTGCTTGCATTTGACGCAGAGAACAACTTCGGCATGCACCATTTCGTACTCAAATTTCACACAGTTGAAAAGAGAATATGCTCGCTTGCTAACTTGTGAAAATTCAGTAGTTCTCTTATTTGATCCCTTCTCCCTCTATTTTCCTCAAGATCTCAACTATTTACGCTCTACTTCTTGAAGTAGTATCTCTTACTTTCGAAATAACAATTATGCTTACTTCTACTTATGATGTTATACTAATTTTATACTTCTTGGAACAAATATTAATCTATTTCCTTTACTTTCAAAATCACAGTTATGTTTGCTTCTGCTGCTAGAAGTAACGTTAATGTATTTCCATTATTTTCAAAATCAAAATCACAATAACGTCTACTGCTACTTCTTGCAAGAAATACTAATTTATATTCCATTATTATATCCTTTGTTCTATACTTTGTGTCTATCTATGTACAAATTTTTGTGCGCCGGGTTTGGCATCCTTTTAACTATTCAAAGTCATGATTCTTCAATAATTTATTGAGCTTACTCTCGTTGTCTGCGTACAACGTAACAAACTTCCCTACTTCAACAATTTCTCCACTAGAATTCAATACAATTATATTCTCACTATTTTTGATGGTTGATAACCTATGAGCAATCAGAATTAAAGTTGTGTTTCTTTCCCTCCCTAATTTTATCAAGTTTTTCATAACAACCTCTTCACTATGTGAATCTAATGCGGAAGTAGCCTCATCTAATATAAGTATATCCGGATTCTTTATTAATGTCCTTGCAAGTGAAATTCTCTGCTTTTGGCCCCCAGAGAGCTGTGCTGCACTGTTAGAGCCAATCAACGTATCAAATTTTTCAGGGAACGATTCAATAAATCCAAGTGAATTGGAAAGTTTACATGCATTAAGAAGGTCTCTTTCTGAAACATGCTTGTCCTTAGTTCCAAATAATATGTTCTCCTTTATACTCCCACTGAATAATAATGGATCTTGCTGGACGTAACCAATTTGGGAACGGTAGAAATTCAAGTTCAAGTCCTTTATGTTATAACCATTTACAAATATGGACCCTGCTATTGGATCGTAGAACCTAAGTAATAATTGAGATATGGTAGATTTACCACTACCAGAGGGACCGACAAAGCAAACATGGTCTCCCTTCTTGATTGTGAGATCAATTTTATTCTGGAAAATATTGCTATCTGGTCTTGATGGATAATGGAATTGGATTCCCTTGAATTCAATATCACCATGCAATGAGTCCACTTTTTTACCTAAACTGGTAGTTATTGTTGGTTTCAGTTCAATAAGCTCAAAAAGTCTTTCTGATGCACCCACACCTTTCATTAATTCAGTATAAAAATTTCCTAATCCAAAAACTGATGAACCTGTGTAAATAGCATACATCATAAAACTTGATAAATCTCCCAAAGTTATGTCTCCACTGCTAATGAATTGAGTACCAACTACCAATAAACTCACAAGTGTGGCATTTCCTAAGAACCCATTTCCCCCAAAATAAATACCACTGAGCTTCCCCTCCTTCATACTGGTATCATAAATCTGTCTAATTTCTTTATTATATTCATGAACTACAGATTGCTGTTGAGCAAAGCTTTGAATCGTTTTCAAACCATTCAATTTTTCTTCTGTTACCTTGGTAAGACTACCCAAATTTTCCTGAACCTGCTTGGAAAGTTGCTTGATCTTTCTACCATAGAAGAGTGACATAACTATCAATGGTGGGAACATTAAACTCATGCATAATGTTAATTTCCAAGAGACATAGCACATCATCGACAATCCAACACACCCACTTACTAATGATCTACAACCATCAGATATATTAGAGCTAAGCGTTCTCGAAATGATTTGCGTATCGCTTGATATTCTTGAAATCAAGTCCCCAGTTTTCATTGTTCCCTTACCATCGGGTCCTATATCGAAAAAATAAGAATCCTGTGATAATATTTTTGAGAAGAGTCTCAGTCTCAACCTGGCTACAAGCTTTTCACCAGCTGAACGCAAAAGGTAAGTTCTCCCGAAGTTTGCAATGGCACCCAAAGTGAAAACTACAGCCATTCCTAAGTAGAATTGTTCTGATGGGAGGCCAAAGATCGTTATCTCTGTATTTGCTTCGGGTAAAATCCCTGATTTCAGATCCACGTCGGAATTTTTCGTTTCTGTAGGAGGTTTTGCAGTATCAATGATCTTACCCATTACCAACGGTAAGGACATACTCACAGCAGATGTCACCACAAGACATGCTAAGGCGGCAAGAAGGAGTCTGAACTCCGGTTTTGCCAACTGTAAAAGCTTTAGAAACTCTTTTCCCTTGTTAGAAGTCGAAGCAGTTGACTCCACTGACGTCGCTACTTCTCTGGAAGCCGGGCCTGGTTCAGTGAAGTCCGATATGTTCGGATGCTGTTGGTGCTTTTCCTCTCTTTCGCGTTCCTCTTCAATCCTCTCGATGTCCCTGCTGAATTTTTCATTTCTAGTGCTAGAATGTCTCCTGCTCACAAAAAGTGAACAATTGTGGTTTAGTCTGCGATTTTGGCATATATTGCTAAACGATGATATCAGACCAAGGTGAAGAGACCTTTGTTGCGAGAGCACAAACCCGTACCTCAGTGTCACAGAGGTAGCTGTTTGTCTCAACAATCCAAAATTTACCGCTACAGGTCTAATCATCTTCTACTGCTTAATGCGACCAACTGGTAACCCTAGATATGCTCTTATTCCGTTTCGTTGATTCGTTTAGTCATTGTGTTTTGCGCTCCGACTCGTTCTTTTTTTTTTGGGTCAACTGAAGCCCCAGACGCAGAATATTTGCGTGGATCGGGATTGTACATGCAGGAAAAAAGAGAGGGGAATTAAGTGTACTGTGGTGTATAATGGGGTGTGTCTTATCTAATCTATATGGCTCAGGAGTGTAGGGTAAAGTAGGGTACGTTATGATGATAAAAGTATTGATTTTTTTGGGGGGTCAATGACGTAACTCTATACGTTCCCTCTTTGCTACCCTCTTTAAGTCGGTCATGGAATGGTTGTCTATATAACAATCACTTACGTCTAGGGTATGTAGACTCCCTGTAGCATTGAGTATCTCTGGATTGACAAATGCGAGAAACCTATTACAGCTCAAGTCCAATGATTTCAAGTTGGGTAAAATTTCCGATAATTTAAACTTGAGACTCGTAGAGTCGTTGGAATGCCCACCAAAATTATCAAGCAAGTTGAACTTCATCAGTAGAACCTCCAACAGCTTGGGGAAAGTAGCCAATAACTCCAGTATATACTCTCTTATCATGTTGTCATCGAGATTTAAGTACCTTAACCTTGGTGGCCATTTGACATGCGCTAGCCAGGATTGGTTATCTTGTTTAGTAATCAGCCTAATTTTGTTCTGTGATAGATTCAATGTATGCAAATTCTCAAATCTATCGAAGAGCTGACTCCACTGGATTTGAAAATGATCCCCTAAGTTCGTAGAGCAAATCAGCAAACATTGGATTCTTTCGCGAAGGAGAGAATTCGATGCTGACAACTTGACCATGGTCCATAGTACTGCAACGGGGAGTGCGGTCGATGGCAATTCTGTATCGTCCGAATTCCCATCTATGTAGACTTCTAGTCGATGTACTGTTCGAAGATATTCTGTTATTGTATCCTTTTTAAAATCATAATTCTTGATGTTGTACGAATCGGAAACGCTGTTCATAAAGTCCCCAAAGCTTCTCAAATCATTTACAAACCGGATGTAGTCATTTGTATAGCGATGGAAATGGAATTCCAATGATTGCGGTCGGGTTTTCCTGAATACGATATCATTTAGTCCAGGTTCACTATCGACGAAAGATTCTCTAAAATTCAGAAACTCCAATAATGTATCGTAGGGACCCGGATGATTACCTTCTATCTCGTTTTTATACTCATGTTGCAAAGTACTGGTTTCACAGGTTGAGCACCTGCCACTACTGCCGACATAGCCACTATTATTATCATTATTACTATTATTATAACTGTCACTTCTACTATTACTGTTGCTATTATCTCTACTGCTATTACTATTATTTGTTCTGCCTTCTACATTCCCCGTGCTACTATATACTATCGTTCTGCCGCAGTACAATCTTTGTAAAGCATATATTTTGAGAGTATCGCAGGAGCGACTCCTACCAGAATGTCCAAGTGCAGATATAAGTTTTAGGGTATCATTTGGAGACAACCGTCCTAAAATTAACAATACAACCTCTTCTGGGAGTCCAACTAACTCGAACTTACCCATTCTTGAGTTCTAGGGAGAAAAGAAATAAAAGAAAGCAAAGATAGTCTCGTATAGTTGCCAGGGCCACATATATGTAGAGAAGTTTAAGTTTTATGCAGGATGAATCCACAGTTATGCTGCATTTAAGTGCTTTGTTCTTTGATGGGTGGCTTAATTGATTAGCATGTCTGCTGCTTGAAGAAGTATGTCAAGTTAAGCAGTTGGGATTTCTACAAGGGCTTGGAAGAGAAAGTATAAACTACCCTGAGACTGAACTTTTCGCAAAAGCCGGAAGTCTACATACCTCTTTTGAGAATATACTGCATTTCAATATATATGGTATATACGCCAATTGAGTGGCCCTAAAAGAGAGCGACCAAGGCAGCTAAGACCCCACCGACTGGAATTGCCACGGAGTAGACTCCGGCGTTTGAAGAGCTAGAGGTGGTTGAACTGCCTGTTGCTGACTTTCCAGAAGTAGATCCAGTTGATGCAGAACTTCCACTCACTTTGGTAGTTGAGCCTGAAGCAGTCCCAGATCCGGCTGAAGCTGCAGATGCCTCTGCTTTTACACCATCAGCAGAGGTGATACCTGTAGCCTCACCTGTAATAGAATAGGCCGCGTACTCTGAAGCAACCGCTGCGTACTGTAGACCAGAATAAAGCTCCAGTACTGTCTTCTGCCAATTTTCACCAAATAATTCAGAGTAGTAGGACTTTAAGGAAGGATTTTCATTAATCACTGATGCGAGATCATTTGCAGTTGCAATTGAAACGAGCGCTGTGCACAAAATAGTTCTCTTAAGCATTTCTTGAAATCGGATGAGAAAACGGAGAGGATGTGATTAATAAAAGGTACCAGAAGAAAAAAAAAAGGTAAGTACAACTAACTGTTTAGGAGTAGGTCCTTTTGCTGTTTTATACTCCATATGGGCAATCCTCTTAATTTTTCGTTTTCCTATTCTCTATATGGGAAGTTATCCCATGTTTTCGTTTTGCAATCTTTTACCTGATTCGAAGCTAGACGAGGTCCAAACTGTAAATGAAGTGCATAAACTATTTTTATTTAGAGAAGAAAAGGCACTATTCCCTCGTAAATTCATGCATGATTTCGCCCAAGCCCGACATTTCAATGTGCAACGGAATTTAGGAATGATTTGGAAGGTACCGATGGAAAGAAAACAGATCAAATCAGGAAGTAAATATTCAATTAGCCCAGAAAGGATTAATTACATTCTTGGGGATCTGGGTATGTAGCATGTTCCTAATTAATGCATGATCGGCTAAGATTGTGTTACAATTTCTAGTTATACATGGTTTTATATCATTTTATTTCATGAAGTTAATCTGACTATGGAAGTTTTTCTTTTTTCTTGGTTCATTACTATTATTAGAAAATATTAGTCCACCTATAAAACTAAAGCCAAGGCAGCGAAAAGTCCAGCAACTGGAACACCCACAGAGTACACACCAGCCTTTGAAGAAGTCGATGAGTCAGATGCTGATCCTGAGGCACTTGAAGATCCTGACGAAGCAGAACTTCCACTAGTCTCTGTGGTAGATCCTGAACCAGATTCAGAACCGGAACCAGAACCAGATGTTGTTGAGGCAGCAATGCTGTTCGATCCAGTTCCTCCAGCTCCTGAGCTTGCAGCGGCAGTATCTGACGCCGTAAGTGTGGCATCTGACTGGAAAGCCGCAACAGCTGAGCTGTACGCTGAAGGATCCGCACTATATAGCTGAGAAAGGTGCGAAACATACGATGAAACATCAAGGTTTTCACCAAAGGTAAGGAAAGCACTGTAATCTGAAAAAGATACGCCAAATACTGATCCATAGTATGAAAGGTATGAACTAGTATCAATAGAATAATCTCCAACACTGGTAGTGAGAATGGAAGAGAGCTCATCAGCAGCCATTACACCTGACGCAAGCGCCACGCTCAAAATAGTTCTCTTAAGCATTTCTTAAATTTGGTTTACACAATAGAATGATTTAGAAAAAAAACCTACTGGTTAAAAAAAAAAGATATATTAGAAATTTCATGTATTCCAAGATGGAGACACCTACTATTTATACTCGATTCTCGCAGGTATAAATTTAAACTATTTTGACGAAGGGTCTGGCGCTGTTGTATTTTTAGAATGGATGAAAAAGGTGAAAAAGGCACAATAGCAACTCGTATTTTCATGCATAAATGTACCTGAGCACGACATTTTTTTTCACAAAAAGGTTAATTTTGGAGTATAATGACACTCCTGTGGAGTAAGTAACAGGTGAAAAATTCAATTTCTAGCGAGCAAGGGCAATTAAAATTCTTTTTGGGCATAGGAAAATTGCCCTAGTTGGCAACTCATCAGATTAAATCATGCTGACAATAACAAATCTATCTGTACTGATGCCAAGGAACCCAAACGTGCACATTAGTTTTCCGTTGAGCATAAAATATTCTTAAATAGTAATACAAGGTATGCATACTCTTTTAATGTAGATATGATTTTTGTGCATCGAATTGACTTATCTTTTTCGTAATGGCTCTGAACAGACTGGACCCACTATAAAAGTGCTGCCAACATGGCAAAGAGTCCGACAAAGGGTACGCCCACAGAGTATACACCAGCTGTTGAGGAAGTTGAGGACGCAGAACTGCTATTTGCTGAAGTTCCAGATGAAAAGCTGCCAGATGAAGTTTTGGCCGCTGATGTACTTCCTTTGGTACTGTAAGAGTAATCACTGTAATCATTACCGTAAGTGTCATAATAACCGGCATAATCAGATATCATTGAATAGACCCCTTCATCATAGGCATCCAGAATTGTCTTTTTCCAGTCTGCCCCAAATAATTCAGAGTAGTAAGTTATTAAATAGGGATACTCATTCATTGCAGAAATAAGGAATGCAGCATCGGTGTATGATGCTATATCAGTCAAGGGATCGATTGTGTCAGCAGCATTTGCAATTGCAGCAACGGCCACATATAAAATAGCTCTTCTAAGCATTTCTTGAAATTTGGTTGCGAAAAATGAAAATATATCCAAATGAATAATAAGGAGGAGGGAAAGCAAATTTTGAGTTCTTTTCCAGAGTCAACAGCTTCTATTTATATAATATCCATCTTGAAGTGAAAAAACTCCAAAGAATGACTTCTTTAATAATTTAATATATCCAACAAATGCAACTGTACGGAAATAAGACCATTTACGAATTATTTTCTGTTCTCGAGTCGAATGCAGGATGCATGATATGCAAATTAAGGTGAGTCGGGGGAATCAATTCGAGAAAGCTTGGCATTTTCGTAGGAATTCATTCTGGAAAGGTCAATCGTTCAATGGAGTAGTCTCTTTTTAGAGTAAATGTGTAAAATTCCTAAAATATTTTCTGTCTAATGCCAAAAATGTGACCATGCATCCTCTTATTAAAGCTGATATTGAAGTAGACTTCCCAAAGTGAAGAAAACGGTAAGCGAGAAATTTTCAATGTAGAATCCTCGGTGATATTGCTGCAATAATGAGCCCGAAACCCAAATTATTTTTCTGCAGCCTTTCATCATTTTCAATGTTCATTGACATTGGCTAGGACATAAACTCTATAAAACTGCAATCAATGCAGCAAAGAGTCCGACAAATGGGACCCCAACGGAGTACACACCAGCTGTTGAAGACGTTGAGGACCCTGAATTTCCTGATGTAGAGCTTCCTGATGCTGAGCCTCCAGATGCTGAGCCTCCAGATGCTGAGCCGCTAGATTCTGAGCCTCCAGATGAAGCAATGGAAGGTGCACTTTCTTCTGACGAATCGGTCGTAGATCCTGATTGTGCCGCAGAGTTAGTTCTGGAATTTCTCGAAGTCGTGGAGGCGGCAATACTATTTGATCCTGTTCCTCCAGCTGCAGAAGTTGCAACTTTATCGGTTTCATAAACACCAGGAGATTCGAACTCGGAGATTGCTGAGGAATATCCCGCTAGATCCGTTCCGTATACCAGGGAAAGAAAACTATAGTAGGATGAAGTATCGAAGGTGCGGCTGTAATCGAATGATTTGTAGTCACTGTAATCGGCAAATGATGTACTGTAGAGAGATCCTTGATGGGAAAGAAAAGATTCTTCATCATGGTAATCACTGTAATAACCATTGTAAGCAAGAAAATCACTGTAATCAGCAAATGATGTACTGTAATGAGATCCAACATAAGAAAGATAAGATTCGGTATCAAAAGAGTCCTCACTGTAGTATCCCTTAAACCACGTTCCGTATACCAGGAAAAGTACACTATTGTAGGATTGAGTATCAAAGCTGTAGCTGTATTCGAATGCAAGGGAGTCACTGTAACCCATATAGGATACGAAAGCAGCGTAATCAGAAAATGTTGTGTCAATCTGAGATCCAGCAGCAGAAAGAAATGATTGGGTATAATATTTGGAAAAGTAAGAGTATTCACTGTGATAACCGTTGTAGTAATCACTATAATCGGCCCAATCAGTAAGGAATTTTGTATAGCGCCCATCAGCATAGGCATCCAGAATTGTCTCTCTCCAGTTTCCACCAAATACTTCAGTGTAGTAAGTTTTTAAATAGGGATACGCATTGATCGCAGATATGAGGGCTGCGGCATCGGAGTATGATGCTCCCTCAGTCAAGAGATTGGTATCAGCAGCAGTTACAACTAGAGCAATGGCCGCACATAAAATAGTTATTACAAGCATTTCTTGATATTTGGCTGCGAAATTTGAAAATATATTCAAATGAATAACAAGGAGGAGGGAAACCATATTTTAACTTATTCTCGAGGAACAACTGCTTCTATTTATACTATATCCATGTTGAAGTAGACTTTTTCCAAAATTAGACTACTTGGATGATCAAATATGTCCACAGAATGTAATTGTATGGAAAGCAATTTAAGATTTACGAGAGAAGTCAAAAATATTGTTCTTTAGTAGAATGCAGGATGCATGATATGCAACCTGGGGGTATCGACTTCTGAAAAAAACTTGGCATTGTAGAGACGTGATTAGCTAAGAGTAAGCTAGAACTCAATCAGGAAAGGGTTAGTAGTCCAATAAGTTATTCTCTTGTTAGAGGAAAGGTGCATAATTCGTAAAACATTTTTCTGTTTCCCACCTTATCGCTAAAATTGGGGGTATGCGTACTACTATTAAAGCAGTACTAACGTAGACTTCACAACATGAATAGAAAGAGAAATGAGGATGTTTCAATGTAGAATATGCGGTGGTATTTACGGTTGTGTTCTCATATTGTTTTGGTCCTAGTTTTCTTTCTGTTGCAATAAGAAGTCTGAGTTCTGCACATACATTGCATCATTTCATGCTTTCAGTTTACATTAAAATTGGTCAGAATGTGTACTCCCTATAAAGCTGCAATTAATGCAGCAAAGAGCCCGAACAATGGGACGCCAACGGAATACACGCCAGCTGTTGAGGAAATTGAGGACGAAGAATTACCAGATGTTGAGCTTCTGGATGTGGAAGTTCCTGATGAAGCATTGGAAGGTGAACTTTCTTCTGAGGAATCGGTCGCAGATCCTGAAGATTGAGATGAATCAGTAGTCTGAAAGTTTTCTCTATCTCCTGTAGTGAAGCCTGATTCATATCTGGATGCAGAGCTGGACAAAGTTGTCGTTGAATTTGTTCCTCCAGGTCCTATGGTTGCCCCTACATAAAACCCAAAATTGGTACGAGAAATTTGGTGAATATCTCTGCTATATCTTATGGTATCTGTTCCACACCACAGGGAAAGCTCAATGAAATGGGATGAAGTAAAGGAGCGGTAGTAAGAAGCGTAAGCACTGTAATCGGTAAACGATGTTTCATAGAAAGATCCCATTTGAGCAAGATAAGATTCTGTATCATACGTGGAATCGGTATAAGAAGTACCGTAAGCGTTGTACAAAATGTGATAGCCTGTTAAGTATTCTTTATAGAACCCAGCAGCATATGACAGCAGAATGGTCTTTTCCCAGTCTGTACCATATGCTTCAGAGTAGAACACTCTTACATCGGGATTCTCGTTGACTTTGGAAATGAGGTATGCAGCATCAGTGTGTCCCTCTAAATCGGTCAAAGTGTCTACTGTGTAAGTAGAATAATAGGAAAGGTAATCTGGTAAATACCCAGTGTAAGCTAAGGCATCCAGAATTGTCTTTTGCCAGTCTGCTCCGAATACCTCAGAGTAGTACGTTATTAAATAGGGATACTCATTCATTGCAGAAATAAGGAATGCAGCATCGGTGTATGATGCTATATCAGTCAAGGGATCGATTGTGTCAGCAGCATTTGCAATTGCAGCAACGGCCACATATAAAATAGCTCTTCTAAGCATTTCTTGAAATTTGGTTGCGAAAAATGAAAATATATCCAAATGAATAATAAGGAGGAGGGAAAACAAATTTTGAGTTCTTTTCCAGAGTCAACAGCTTCTATTTATACTTTGCCCACTTTAAAGTAAATTTTCTGTAGAGTTTGACGATTTTGAAGCTCTACTATGTTTGCAAGGTGTAATTGTATGGAACTGTGACAATTTATAGTTTACACAGAAGGTTATACTTGTCTTGGCATTTTAATCGAAAGCTAAAAAAGCAACACTCAATAGAGAAAGGACAATGACTTACAGGATTTGGAAAGAGTTAAAGTTTGGAATTAAATATGACAAACTCTTTTTAAAGGTAAACGTATAAAATTCCTAAAATTATTTTTATTTTCTACCTGAACACTAAAATGAAGGACATATATTCTAATTAAAGCTGGTATTATAAGTAGCTTTTCCAATGTGGATGAAAAGAGAAACAAGGAAGTTTCATTGTAAAATCTGTGTTTTATATAAGCAGGTTCAATTGATGTCACCTTCAGATGCCTTTTGGTTACTACAAGGTCCCGTTAAAATATATTGCATATTTATACCTTTTCAATTTCCATTGACCTTAGTCCGAATATACTCCTTATAAAGCTGCAATTAATGCAGCAAAGAGCCCGAAGAATGGGACGCCGACGGAGTACGCGCCGGCTGCAGCTGATGAGGAATCTGAACTACCACCTGCTGCAACTGATGTGGATCCTGCACCGCCAGCTGCGCTTCCAGATGCTGGGTCACCGGCACTTCTTGGTAATGAGCTACTGGAAAGTGAGCTAGTTGAGGTACTTGATTTTGATGTGGAGCTTTCATTAATTTCTGTGGTAGAAGCTGTTTCTGTCGTAGACCCATCTGCTGAGCTTAGGAAGGTCGTGAAAGCGGCAACGCTATTTGAGCCAGTTCCTCCAGCTGGAGAAGCAGTGGCCTCGAACTCGCTAATTCTTGAGGAATATGCTGCGGAATCCGTTCCGTATAACAGAGAATAGTAACTATAATAGGATGATGTGTCAAAGCTGTAACTGTAGGTGTAGGTGGATACGTATGCTAGATAAGCACTGTAGTCAGCAAACGATGTTTCATAAAGAGATCTGACATAGGAAAGACGAGATTCGGTATCATAGCTGCTGCTGTAGCTGTAACTGTAACTGTAATCGTATGCAAGATAGGCACTGTAATCAGTGAAAGTTGTTTTATAGAGGGATCCAACATAAGCAAGATAAGATTCGGTATCATAAGTATAGTAATAACTACCGTAGTAGTCAGTATAATAGGTATAATAATCAAGATAATCCGTATAATAATTAAGGTAATCCGTATAGTAATTTGTATAGTAGTACGTAGTATAATAATAGATCTTTTTAATTGCCCCTTCCCAGTTTTTACCGTATACCTCAGAGTAGTAAGTTTTTAAATATGGATTCTTGTTGGCTGCAGAAATGAGGTGTGAAGCATCAGTGTATGATGCCAAATCAGTTGGAGGAAAAGACTCATCAGCATTTGCAATTGCAGCAAAAGCCGCACATAGAATGGATCTTCCAAGCATTTCTTAAAATTTGGTTGCGAAATCTGAGAATTTAACTATGACAAGAAGAAGAGAGACATTTGAGCTACTTTCGAGGGTAGCTCTTCCTTTTATATTTGCACCCCCTTAAAGTAGACCTTTCTATAAGGTTAAACTACTTTGAATCTGTATTATGACCACAAAGTGTAATTGTATGGAAGTATGACAATTATGCTTTATGGTGGGGGTTATAATTTGTCGTATCTCGAGTCTAATGCAGGAAAGTTCTACAATTAGAATTTTTGGAAAAACCTTGGCATTATCATAAGAACATGATCAGATGTAAGGAGTAATATGCGGTCGAGATAAGGCAATTGCCTTACAGGCTGTGGCAGACATGGAAATGAATAGAGCAAACTCTTTCAAGGGGAATTGTTTAAAATTCCTAAAAATATCTTTTATTTTGTACCCAGTCGCTAAAATTTATGGCATACATATTCTAATTAAAGCAGGTATTTTAAGTAAACTTTCCAAGGTGCATGAAAAGAGAAACAAAGTTTCAGTGTAGACTCTGTGATTTTAAAAAAACAAGTTAGGTTGATGTAGTTGACTTTCAGCTCCTGCAATAAACCCGAGTTCTGCGCAAATGCAATGCATCCTTCTATCTTTCAATTTTCTTTGACATTGGTCAGAATATACTCCCTATAAAGCTGCAGCCAATGCAGCAAAGAGCCCGACAAGTGGGACGCGAACGGTATACACACCAGCTGTTGAGGATGTTGAGGATCCTGAACTTCCTGATGCTGAGCTTCCTGATGCCGAGCTACCAGATGATGAGCTTTTAGATGCTGAGCTGCTAGATGCAGATGCAGCATTTGATTTTGATGAGCTGGTGTCAGATCCAGAAGATTCAGAGGAACTAGCTATGGAGCTTCCACTAATTTTAGTTGCAGAACCTGATTCTGTACCAGAACTAGCTTTGGAGTCTGCAGAGGTCGTGGAGGCTGCAATACTAATCGAACCTGTTCCTCCAGCCGCAGAGGTTGCTGGTCTACCGGTTTCACTAATTTCAGTAGCGATAAACTCATCAAGTGCTGAGCTATATCCGGCATAATCCGTTCCATATACCAGGGAAAGGTAACTATAGTAGGATGAGGTATCAAAGCCGTAATCGTACGCAAGATAAGCACTATAATCGGAAAATGATGTACTATAGAGTGATCCAATATAAGAAAGATAAGATTCGGTATCATAAGAGTAATCACTATAATAGCCATCGTAAAGGCCACTATAGTCGCCGAGGTTGGAAAGGTAATCTGAATAATACCCAGTATTAGCATAAATCTCCAGAATTGTCTTTTGCCAATCTGCTCCGAATATTTCTGAGTAGTATGTTTTTAAATATGGATACTCGTTGATCACGGAATTGAGGTAGGCAGCATCGGTGTATGCGGCTAAATCAGTCAAGGGGGCAGTAGTGTCAGCAGCTGTTGCAATAGCGGCAATGGCCAAGCATAAAATAGTTCTTTTAAGCATATCTTGAAATTTGGTTGCAAACATTGAAAATATTGCAAATTACAAAAAATTAGTATAAACAGTTTCTATAGAATAATTTTTGACTTAGTTTCCAGGGGGTAACTCCCTTGATATTTATATCCATTGTGAAGCTGCCTCAATTCCAACTTTAATTATTATTTAGAGCCTGAAGGTTCATGGAAACTGAAATCGTATAATAATAAAGGATATTATTCATTTATTTTTTGTATTTCGTGCATGACTGAGACAAATAGCACGGCTTGCAATAATTTGAGCTAAGCTGAAAGAATATTCAAATCTCAATGGCAAGTTAATCAGATGGGATCCGTCCAATGTTCTAGTCAGAAAGAGATGAGTGTTTGAGTTTTGTCGGAACTTGTCAGATTGAAAGTAGCGTATATTCTGGATAAAAGAAGGACAGGGCTAATCCCATCCAAGGGGGATGATGAAAAATCATAATAATATTTTTTGTATTATAGTATTTCGTAAAACTTAAATTAAGGGCATATATTCGAATTAAAGTTAACTTCAGAGGTCGGATTGATAAAAATTCGCGTTCATCCCTAGAATTGTGTAAATTTTGTAAAGATCTTCACAGAAGCATGCCGTATTGTAACACCCTATATAGAATTGTTAACTAAGAGCAATAGCTAAAGCTGCGAAAAGGCTCAAAATTGGTACACCGATTGCATGTTCTGCGGCCCTCGAAGAAGTTGAAGATGCGGCTGCAGATCCACTCAGTGATGAAGTAGGATTGCTAGTAGTGGTACTTCCAGAAGTCACGCTTTGGGAGGTAGTAGCAGAATTGATTGACTCAATATGGGATGTAGAGGAAGCAATTATGCTATTTCCTGTACTACGTTGCACTGAGCCTGCAGGTGTAGTGGTGTCGTCGTCATAGTAAGTTTCGGTTTCGTAGTACTCAGCAATAGCAGAACTATAATCCCCCCATTCAGTACCATATAGCTCTGATAGATATGAGAAATACGACGAAGTATCAAATGTGTAATCATGGTTCAAGTAATTACTATAATCTGTAAGTGTTGTATCATAAACGGAGCCAAAAAATGAAAGGAAGGATGAAGTGTCGAATGTAGAATCTGTGTAGTATTTCTCGTGGTATGCAGGTAAAGTATCTGCATTCTTAGTAGTACTGTCACCTGCAGTTACTAACCCAAGCCCCGCAAATACGATACACCTCATAAGCATTTCGTGTAATTGTTACTCAATAGAAGAGAGAACAGAAAACATTCTAGTAGACTAATAAAGTGTTTTTAAGTAAGGGTGCCATAATTGTTGAGTGACCACTAACTTACAAATCTGGAAAATACAATGCCAAGCCATTTGCATTCGAATTTGAACAAATAGACGAACGTGATGCAGATTCAATAAAGGGAATTCTTCAAAATGAAGCCCTTTTTGAAAGAATCAGTTCGTCTTTTGTTTCTTTTTATTTCTTCTTAAAGATATAGGGAATTTAGTTCAAGGTTTATGCCTCCAGCTTTAATTTTATATTTATTTTTAGATTAATGTATTTTGCTGTGAATATCTTCCCTACTGTTCCCCTCTTCAAATTGTTAGTATCTATTGGTCTTACCTTCGTTTTAAACTCACGTGATACATACCTTAAGAGAAATTACAATCTATAGACTAAAAATAAGAAAGGATGCTGGAGTACCTACAGAAGTCTTACTTTTATCCTCATAGACGTTGAATTTGAAAGGCAGGAGAACTTTCAGATGCCTCAGATTAGTTTTATGAAGAATTAAAACCATAAATTATGAGTGCAAGTAAAAGAAAATTGAGCAGTTTATGATCTGTTCTTGGGGGACAGGTCGAGCTAGTATCATCTTGTCAAGACAATTAGCATAGTCCACCGGCTAGTGCTACGATCAATTCGACAACAGAACCATAGTTATTAGCTCCACTTCCTATCGAGTCACTACTAGATGAGATTTTAGTCGTTGAGTTACTATTTCATGGGGCTGTTTTAGTAAAAATTCCACAATTTGTGCGGGCCGAGATAGCTTCCAGAGCCTTCGTTGGTTTACCAGAATTTGAAGAAGTAACTAAACTGCGACCACTTTCTGGAGGACTTTAAGATGTAGCTGAAACGGAGGTTGGGCCGGTAGAACTGACTATTTGTTTGGTACATGCTGAGCCTCTTTGGATATTGTATAAGACGTTTCTTGAGCATCGTAAAAATATACGGCACTGCTTGTATTAGTAGCAATGTAGAACGTTGATTCAACGATGAAATATAAAACATTCTGAGCAACAATATTATAATTGCCGTACTCGTCAGTAAATAATTGATAAATTGGTCATAGTCACGGAAGAATAGGAGTTGACATACATACCTGTATAATAGTTTATATACATAGCTTCATATTGCGCCTAAAAGGTCAGGATCATCGCGGCGAACCATTTTCAAACACCTCAATCCCAGCTTTCTATTATGGAATATTAGCGAAAGGAGAGAGATTATCTGCTTCCAAGAGATCTTCTAACTGTAACTTTGCTTGGTCAGCTCCTGCGAGAAAAACAATGGCTGCAATCAAAAGTATTCTCATGAGCATCGTGAATTGGTAGTCAACTGAAATAACTGAAAGACCAAGAACAGGGGAGAATAGGATAGATTCAATATACATAATGAAACAGAATTTTTTTTTCCCGAGGGACAGTTTATTATTTATACTTGGAAGTAAAAACATAATAATTAGATTTTATCCTGGGAATTTTAGGAACCTATCCAAGTAAATTTGAAAGTAAAACTAACATAATTGTATGGATTCAATTTGAGACATAAGCTGAAGCCTGAATCACTGCAAACAATTGAACTTCAAAATTTCACTTACTGGCTGATTATGAATTTTTACGGATGATATTAATTCCAACCATAAAAATTACTCTCCTAACTCTATTCATTATCCAAATGCATTGTCCATAGCGTATTTAATTGACTTTTAAAGGGATTGTTACAAGCTAGAGCTCGAAATTTTAAATGCACTTTAAAGTTCGTAAATATTCCTGCACCTGAACATTTTGCAGCCAAATGTTTCGTGCAAATGATGAGCCACCTTGCCGATGCTGTGAGATAAATTTAAGCCTGGTTACGCAGTGTACTTTCGAACACGACCATAGATCTGTCGCGATACATGCACTAAGATTATCTCTGAAAGTCTGATAAAAGACCGAAACAATACCTCACTAAGCTCTACATTTGTGGGTCCGTACTAGTATTACATCTAAAAGTTAGTATCTTTTAAGGTGTGCTACATTACATATTCTAAGCTTAAAACTTGATTTTTTGAGTAAGAAATTTACTTATATGGATGAGCTAACTGTGCTCAAAATTGAGGATTTGAATGTCACAATGTACGAGGCTGGCTACCACATAAGGGTAATAGGTCTGGGCTAAGCAATGTGATTGTAAGAACGAAATAGTACCAATCTGATAACAACGGAAAAGAAAACAATTTAGATAATTGCACCTGCTAACGCTACGAACAATCCGGCAACAGGAACATAGAGATTAGCTCCATTACCTTTACCACTACTTGAGCCACTACTAGACTGGCCAGTCGCAGAGGTGGAATCACTTTTAGATGGCTTATTAGTAGTGGAACCACTATTAGATCCTTTCTTTGAAGTTGTAGATCCACTATCAGATCCTTTTGTCGAAGTTGTAGATCCACTACCAGATCCTTTGGTTGAAGTTGTAGTACCAGATGTAGATGTAGCAACGCTGTTACTGCCTGTTCCGGCAGCACCAACAGATGCCGAGGATTCTTTGGCTCCAGTTTTACCTTTTGAAGAGGCAGCATCAGTTTCGTAGGATTCAACATCATCACCGATGTATGAAAAACCAAGATAATATAAAAGATCGTCGTTAATTGTTTTAGTGCTACCATTTTCGTCAGTCCAAAAGTCGATTTTATATATACCGCTTGCGTCCATATAGTGGTCGTTATCTCCAATAGTATAAGACCTGCCAGCAGAGTCAGTATAAAAGTCAACAAAAGAATTAGATTTTGAAGCAATATATGTTTGGGAAACGAACCCTAGAAGATCGTCGCTAATTGTTTGAGTGCTACCATTTTCGTCAGTCCAATAGTCGATATAATTACCACTTGCGTCAGTATAAAAGTCTTGATCTCCAATAGTATAAGACCTGCCAGCATGGTCGGTAAGAACGATAAGATAATCATTAGTTTTTGTACCAATATATGATTGGGAAATATAATCTAAAAGATCATGGTTAATTGTTTGAGTGCTACCATTTTCGTCAGTCCAAAAGTCGATTAGATTGTCACTCGTGTCAAAATAGTGGTCTTTATTTCCAATAGTATAAGACTTGCCAGTGGAGTCAGTATAAAAGCCAAGATATTTATTTGTATAGCTTTCAAAATCGGTTTCGAGGGCAGAATCAGACTCAGATGAACCAGTCTCAGAAGAGTTTGCGAATGTGGCAATAACTGCAACTAAAAATAATCTACTAAGCATATTTGATATAGGTAACTTTTGGAAAAAGTAGAAACTTGCAAAATAGAGATAAAGTTAGAGCAAAGAAGTCAATTATTAAAAGCAATCTATTTTCTCGGCGATACCTCTACCTAAATACACATTTTGAAAGCTTATACTAGAATTCTCTTCATTTACTTTTAAGAACTTAGTAAAGTAAATTAACAAATGAATAAAATTCTCGTAAATCAAATCTGAATACGAATTTAACTTTGAATTGCTTTCTTATGGGTGCAAACTAAAAAAGAATTTGGAGAGTCACGAGTTTTTACCAATCGGGAAACTTTTTACTTTAAGGCACACAAAATAATATATTGTTCGTATATGAGTTCTAAAGGTTTCTACAAGCGGCGTCTTGTTATGCAAGAGAATCCTGAATACAAGAGGGGGGTTTATAATACTCTTTACTAATATTTAATCTAACTCGAAGAAGAGAATCCCTAATCAATTATATCGATATTAATTTTAATTATTAAATATAAAACCAATAAGTTTGTTGAACTATTCCTTATTCCACGAATAATATTGCAGCCAATTGAAACCAATGAGAATCATGTCTGTTGATGGATCGTGTGGCAGTAGCACTTCTAATTATTAGTAGGAGGAGTTACCAGGATTACGAATAAGCGTATGCCGATGAATTCTACCGCACTACCTATTGTGCGCGTATTCCGATTTGGATAAAGGATGTTAGGTCGTATTATTCCACATATATCGGAACTGCTCTCGATGCTGTCAGAAAAATTGCTCAATCTTCTGATTATGCTAAATCATATAATAAAACATATGACACAGCTACCGGCGGCGATTTAACTGAGGATTATAGTGATATCGTAGAAATTATGAAACATATACTAGAGCAGATTTATCTTACGTCACTGAACGCTATGATGAGTTTCGATCGATTTATACCGGAACTGCTCTCGATTCTCCTACAGGAAAACTTACATGGATGAGCAAACTATGCTTCAAAATTGAGGATTTGAATATTATAATATACGGCATTAGCTATCACATAAGAGTAATAGGTCTGGACTAAGCAATGTGGGTGGTAAGAACGAAATAGTACCAATCTGATAAAAGTGGAAAAGAAAACAATTTAGATTATTGCACCTGCTAGCGCTACGAACAATCCGGCAAGTGGAACATAGAGATTAGCTCCATTACCTTTACCACTGCTGGAGCCACCATTAGATTGGTCAGTCGCAGAGGTGGAATCACTGCTAGATGGGTTATTGGTTGTGGGACTATTATCAGATCCTTTGGTTGAAGTTGTAGTACCAGATTTTTTAACCTGTTGATCAGATGTAGATGTAGCAACGCTGTTGCTGCCTGTTCCGGCAGCACCAACAGATGCCGAGGATTCTTTGGCTCCACTTCTAGCTTCTGCAGTGGCTGCTTCTGTTTCGTAAGATTCACCATCATCACCAATGTATGAATCACTAACATAGTATAAAAGATAGTCGTTAATTGTTTGAGTACTACCATTTTCGTCAGTCCAAAAGTCGATAATATTGTCACTTACGTCAGTATAGTAGTCGTTATTTCCAATAGTATAAGACTTGCCAGCAGAGTCAGTATAAAAGTTAAAATATTCATTTGTTATTGTACCAATATATGATCCGGAAATATAATTTAATAGACCTCCGTCAATTGTTCGTGTGCTACCATTTTCGTCAGTCCAAAATCCGATTACATTGTTACTTGAGTCAATATAGTAATCTTGATCTCCAATAGTATAAGACTTGCCAGCAGAGTCAGAATAAAAGTTAATATATTCATTAGATTTTTCAATATATGATTGGGAAACCCATTCTAAAAGATCATGGTCAATTGTTCGAGTGCTACCATTTTCGTCAGTCCAAAAGTTGATATAATTGTCACTTGAGTCAATATAGTAATCTTGATCTCCAATAGTATAAGACTTGCCAGCAGAGTCAGTATAAAATTCAAAATATTCATTAGTATAGCTTTCAAAATCGGTCTCGAGGGCAGAAGACTCAGATGGAGCGGTTTCAGAAGAATTTGCGAATGTGGCAATGACTGCAACTAAAAATAATCCAATAAGCATATTTGATATAGGGAACTTTTAAAAATAGTAGAAACTTGTGGAATGGAGATAAAGTTGGAACTAAAGAGTCAATTATTAGAAGCAATCTATTTTCTCGGCGATACTTCCACCTAAATACACATTTTGAAAACTTATAGTAGGCTTTCTCCACATTTACTTTTAGGAACTTATTGAAGTGAATTGGCCAAAAAATAAGATTTTCGTAAATCAAATCTGAATACAAATTTTGAATTGCTTTCTTGTGGGTGCAAACTAAAGAGAATTTGGAGAATTTCGCTTATTTTCCAATCGGGAAATTTTTTATTCTGAGGTACACAAAATAATTACAAAGATATAATATAAGTTGTTCGTATATAAGTACTAAAGGTTTCTACAAGCGGCGACTTGTTATGCAAAAGAATCCCGAATGCAAGAGGGGGGCTATAATACTCCTTACTAACATTTAAACTAACTCAAAGAAGAGAATCCCTAATCAATTATATCGATATTATATTAAATATTGGAGTCTGAATCAGCTGCAATCAGCTAAACTTCCGAATTTTCACTTTATTTTTAACGTATTTCTACTATTGACTGCTAGAGTGATTGTTGCGAGCAAGGGCTCGAAATTTATAATCCACTTTTCTTCGTATTAAGCTCGTAAATGTTCCTGCATCAGAACATTTTGCAGCCAAAAGTTTATGTTTATGATGAGCCACTTTTCTGACACTGTGAGATAAATTTAAGCCTACTTATCGAATCTATTCCCAAAAAGACGGTAATCGCTCTGTCGCAATGCCCACATTAGCATTAGCTCTGAGACTCTCATACTTAAAAAGAAAGTGAAGTGAAACAAGAAACACGGGGTAGTTCAATGCGTTGAAGCAAATACAAAGGTGCGAAAACACGACTAGTGTCTAGTCCCTTTAGCCTCTACTGGAAAATATTTCTCACGGGGTAAAACTCCATAAAATGCGATAAAGAAAACCTATCACACTAAGTTATGCCTATGTCGATCCGATTCCAAGTTCACATATGTAATGAGAACCCTTTAAGGTGTGCTACTTTATTTATTCCATGCCTAATGCTTGATGTATTGAGTAAGAAAATTACTAAGATGGATGGGTCAACTATGCTTCAAAATTGAAGATTTGAATATCATAACGTACGAGGTTGGCTACTAACTAAGAGTAATGGGTCTGGGCTAAGCAATTTGGTCGAAAAGAACAAACTAGTACCAATTTGATAAAAGTGGGAAATAAAACAATTTAGATAATTGCACCAACTAAAGCTATGAACAATCCGGCAACAGGTACATAAAGGTTAGCTCCATTGGCTCTACCAACGCTGGAGCCACCATTGGATTGGCCCGCGGAGGTGGAATCACTAGTGGATGGATTCTTCGTGGTGGAATCACCATCAGCTCCTTTAGTTGTTACGGTCGAGTCAGATTTTGCGGCTTGTTGGGTTGCTCCAAGTGCTTCTGTCAGTTGGCCAGCTGTAGAAATGGCAACGCTGTTACTGCTTGTTCCGGCCGCACCAACAGATGCCGAGGATGTTGTGGCTAGAGTACTGGCTCTAGTTCTGGTTTGAACAGTGCCTGTTCCTGTTTCATATGAATAACCAACATTATACAACAGGTCTACGTTAACTGTCTCAGTGTCACCATTTTCATCAGTATTATAGTAGATTCCATACTCATCAGTATAATAGGGGTCATTGCCCATGGTATAATAGTTGTCAGCTTCATCAGTATAATACTCACCATAATCACTGTCATAGCTATTATACCACCAATCGTCAAAATCAACAGTATAAAAGCTGTCAGAGCCACCCGTATAGAGCTCGTCATAGCTAACGGTGTATTCAGACTCAAAAAATTCTGTTTGGTAGGAGTTAGCATAAGCATCTGCAATAGTCTGTGACCAATTGACACCCCAAAAAGCTTCGAATTCAGATGCCAAAGCTGGTTCCTCGTAGGCCAAAGAGAAAACTTCATCTTCTGTGAAATCTTCTAAGCCAAGTTCTGCAGGGTCAGCTCTTGCTAAAGCAGCAATGGCTAAAAAAAGAAAAGATTTAAGCATATTTGAAAGTGAAACTCCTGTAAATAATTGAATGAATATAAGCAGTGAAAAGGTGTGAATAAAGAATTCTCATTTAAAGCAGTTTTGTTTTAGGAGATATTTTTACCTATATACGTTTTTGAAAGCTTTGATTACGGTTTCTCATGTCTTACTTCTTGGAACTTAGCGAAATAAGTCGGGAAAAGAATGAGACGCTCGTAAATTACATCCGAATTTGAACCCTTTTCTTGTGGGTGCAAATTACTCTGAGATTTCGCTTACTTACAAATGTAGCAAATTATACAAATAATGATTATTTTTAAGCTCTAAATAATAATTGCCAAGATATAATAAGTATTCGTATATGAGTTCCAAATGTATTTTTGCAAGTGGCTTTTCGAAATATAAAAGGCTCCAAGTTTGCTGAACTACATTTATTCCACTAATTTTCTGTATAACTAACTAATAAAAAATGAGAATTAGAATCTTTACATATTTAGCACTTCCAGCCATTATCTCTGCTGGTGATGTTGATGAGGATGGAATGGTTGACTTTGGGGGTGCAGGATTTAATCCCTTCGGCAGTATGATGCCTGATCTCACGAGTTTATACGGACTGCTGCTAATTGGTTTATCTGGTTTAACTGGAACTGGGGGCGGAACTGGGGGCGTCCAAAATTCTGATGGATCTATAACTTACCCAGATGGAAGTTATGTATTGGCTGATGGAAGTACCTACTGTGCTGACGGACAACCTACATCAAGTGGTTGTGGATCGTCTGGCAGCGGTACCTCTGGCAATGACGACGAAGCAGCACAAGCTGAGGCCAATATTGAATATTATAACACAGCTTATGACGGTGCGCTATCTGAATATTATAATGATATCGCAGCATATTACGAAACTTATACCGGAACAGATACTTCTTATGCCGAAGCACGCTATGAAGAGTTTGCATCAACTTATACCGGAACTGAGTTCAATGATGCTACGGGAGAGTATACTGACACTTATGCAGAATTTTACAACACAGCTTATGACGGTGATGCATCTGAGTATTATAATGAAATCGTAGCATATTACGAAACTTATACTGGAACAGATACATCTTATGCCGAAGCACGCTATGAAGAGTTTCTATCAACTTATACCGGAACTGCCTTCAATTCTGTTGAAGAAATTGCTGAAAGCACTGGTGGTGCAGGTACAGCAAATGCAGCTGCGACTTCTAAAGATACTACGATTGCACGAGCTACAACTGGAAGTACTTTAGAAACCAAGACCACAGGCACTGCGCTGAGCTCAGGTGCTAAGACTACTGGTTCATCAGGTTCATCGAGTTCATCTGGCAGTTCTTCAGGCTCAGATGCAAGTTCATCTGCCAATTCCTCCAGCGCTAAAGGCTCTGGTGCAAAAGTTTCTGCTGGACTTCCACTTGTATTGGTCATGTTGGCTGGTCTGTTTACCTTCTTAACTTGAAGATTTAGTATATTTTAAATTATGCAAGCGAACCTTTGAATATATGAATTTTGATATTATAAAGTAGCAACTACGTAGGCTAGACAACTTATTGCTTAATCAATATACCATTGACCTTTCAATCCTCGATTAGTCGTACATTGCCAAAGTAAAAAAGGGGGACTGATTAATATACAGAGTCACAGTACATGAAATTTTAGAAGCACGAGCTCATGGTTACTAAAGTGAACGAAGAAATAATTTTGATTGCGGTCGGTTGCAAAAAAATACATGCATATACGGAAAAATCGCTTAGTGCCTTATTTATTTTTTTCGTAGTTTCACATTCATCACATGTAAGTATGATGTAGGAAGGTACATAAAAGGCGCATGGAATATAATGAACTTCGTGACAATATTTTGAAAGTTAAGCACCCCTCGAGTAGATTGATAATATATGAACCCAGGAGATGATGGCTTCCAAGCTAGACATATTACTTCTGGGTGCTGCGTTGCTAGTTCGAAACCTAAAATTAATGTTTAACAAATAAAAAAATACTACTATAGGCTCGTAAAATTATACACTTTCATTGATAAGTCACTGATCTCGATTATATTCAAAGTTATCGACCTAGCAGAATTCAGGCATATTACAATCAGAAACGAATTCAACATTCTATCCTCGTATTACTTGGATTACTTGAATCGATAATCAACTGCCTCAGTAATCAAATTTGGATTCCCATATTCTCGTAAAGCTACATTTGTTGTCTCAATCTCAAACGAAGATCTATGCGGCGCATTCTAAAGGTGGTTTAATCTTTTTTAGATCGCCTAAAAATAAATTATGTGTACATTTTTAAATCCATTGATAGATATACAGGAGTGCTTCTCCAAGGAGACCACAGATTAACAAAGGGACATCTTTTATCTTCAGCCCAAGATAATTGAAATGACTTTCCTTTGCGATGTTCACAGAACTAGATTTGTGGTGACGAAATGACTAAGTATTTATTCTTCAAGGTTATTGGCGTTTTTATCTTATACATCCTATGTCCCTATGAACCCTTATTTTCTGTACCATCTATATATATATTCCTAACATCTAATCATTCAATCTCCATATCCAGATCAAGTAATTCCTCAAACTTATTATCTGTATCACCGCCTTTTAGCATATCTACATCAAACATATTGACATCCTTATCGATCCCTTTTAGCCTATCCCAATAATTGTAAGAATGGTCTTCAATAATTTCGCCATCCTGATTACTCTGTAGTTGTTTCTTGTCATCCCTGGCCTTCGCTCTTTTGCGAAGCCGAACGTTTTCAAGATAATTTTCTTCAGTTAATATACGCATTAAATCACTCCATTGAAAATTGATATGGCTGGAACCAATCATATCCAATATGGAATTGAACTCACTAAATAACTTGATCTTGTTTGAGCCACCAATCTTCTTGATGTATTTCCTATAAAACCTATTGAACAACCTTAATACCCATTTTTGGAAATGATACACAATCATCCAGCGGGAATTATACCACTTAATCAAAGCGGCTTTTGAAAGGTAGATCGTATAAAAGTGCAGATAGAGCTTGTTGGCGATAAAATCGCTTACTTCTGGTCCAGACAAAGACGATCCCAAAGAGCCTACATTGCTACTGCTGTTGGATTCCCTGTAAATATTAGGCTTCGTGATAGAGTATTTAAGTTTTAAGGAAGGGTTAAGTGAATATTTCGTATTACTTTCATTTTGTCTCCTGGGACCTTCCTGAGTTTCAGAAGCGGCATCTTCCATTTCCTCAGATTCTGAAGTCAACTTTAACCTTTTGTCAAAATCATACTCCAAATCTACATCATCTTCACGAGGATGTTTTCGCCTTTTATTATCATCAGATAAAACGGATATAATAACCATCAAACAGCATATAGGTAAATGATTTAAAACAATTTAAATAAAGTGGCTGAATGGCCCAGTTTATACGGATAGATGGATCATTTGTGTAGTATATTCTAGAAAACTAATGGGATATATGATCATGATCGAGTTATGTGCAGGATGGTTTTTCATTCAAGAGGCTGGAATCTCTTTCAACTAGAGCTACAAACTGAAGAATAGTGTCTTCTCACAAAACTGATTTACTTGGATAGTTGGATTTATCTATATACATAGGACACTTTACATACTAGTCTCTTCAGAATGTGAGCTTTGGTCGATCAGCCCATTCCTCAAGATTGGTGTAACCATAGCGCAAAGTTTATCGTAGTTGCTTTTTAATAGTTTTAAATCATTTATAGTTAATGATTCAAACTCCACATTTTGAAATTGAACTATCTCCTCGAACTGTAGTGAGGGTTCGATTCCCTCAATGGTAGGAGTTAAAGTTGGTTGTATATGTGATAAGTGAGCATTGGGTTGGATCACAGTACTATTTCCTGTGATATTCATGTTAGATATATTACTGAACCACTTATCCATGATTTGAAGACTGGTAGTCCTACTGCGATTATATTCAGGGCGTTTTATTGGCGAATCTCCAATAAATGGATGCAATGCAGAGGAATTTGCTTGGCCCTGTTGACCATTTTCTTCCGTCAAAGAATGTAATGATAGTGAGGAAGTATTTGTATTGGCATTATTTAGTTTCGTCATTAGTTCAGTCATACCTGTCGTGAATTTTGAAGTCAAAGAGTTTCTCTTCGTGTGGTTGTCAAAGGAAGATGATCTGGTCCGAGAATGAACTGGAGAGGTCCTACTAGGTGACTTCTTAGCTGTAGAATTTGTGCCTTCATCCACAATTGTTCCATTCTCAGATATCAGAATCTGAGGTTGCTGCTGCTGATTCAGCTGTGCTTCTTGCCCATCTTCTGCACTTCTAAACTGTGGTACCAGAACTTGACTGAATTTACCCAATATATTCTTCATTACAGAAATACTACTCAGAGTTGATTCAATTGCTGCATGAGGCAATTCGTTCGAGTTAACTGGAGAAGTTTGCATAGATTCTGGATCCCCACTATCTCCACTAGCGCTACTACTAGTAACTACGTCTTTACCTTGAAGTGGTGAAGATATTGATGGGAAACTTTCTTTCGTAGGTGCTTTTAAGGAGTTCAATATCGATGAATTAGAGCGTGAACGGTTTGCTGTATTTGCTACGTCATTAAGTCGATTGGAAATAGTGTTGAAAAGGGATGAAGAACGCGAACGATTGCTGGTTGTCGTACCGCCACCAGCGTTGGTGCTGATCACGTCCCTAGCAGAGCCACTGTTTATGGATTTGTTTTCCTCTTTCAAACTTCTATCACTTCTCACATCTTTTTCTTCATCTAATTCTTGAAAATTATTAGCATTTTCAGTTCCCTCATCTTCGTATCTTAGAGCTTCTCCACTGGGAAATTTGAAGTGAGTTAGAAGCTCCATATCAACTAACTTATCCAATGGAACGTTCACTAATTCGTTCTTAGCGTAGTCTCCTCCATTCACCTTCAAGTCATCGAGAGTGATGTTCAGGATAAAAAAGAGAACTGCCTCAAAATTAGTTAAATAAAACATCAATTCTCCATTATTCAAAAATTGCTTTTGAATATGAGCGACAGTAAATTTGTCATTGGAAAATATATCTTGCTTGTCTAAATAGCCATCCTCTTCATCGTTGATATTGTCTTCATGCTTGAGATTTAAAAAAGTGTATATACTTCCATATCTTTTCCCAGCTCTTGCATGGAATTGTTTGTTTGCTGATTTCAGTTTATTTGTCGGTGTGTATGAATGTAAACTCATTGATGGTGTCATTGTAGTAAGGTCAATATTATCCACTGGAATCAAGTTCAAAAAGTTCTTTATAAATTGAAAATTCAAATAAAGTTCAATTTGATCTAGAGGGGGCAAATAATTGATTATGTAGTATATGAGTGAAGGAAGAAGGATATCATTGTTGACTGATGAGGTGTCATTGTCAAATGCTATTCTTGCTATTTCATTGATGAGTAATTTTTGTATGGAAAGAAGAATTTTAAGTTTGGAAAGTGGAGTAATTGATGCATTGAGCTTAATGAATAGCCCATTGATTTGACCGATTGCTTCAGAAGAGATTCGTTCACCTTCGGTCCGGAACACCTTTTGCAATGGGTTATTATCTTCTTCAACAAAGCAACTCAAGGGTAGATTAAGCTTTTTCAAGACTCCTATCTTCTCCTCCAAAAATTCTTGAAATATTATATCCTTCTGTTCAAATCTGAATATCTTATCGTATAAAGAAGTTGCTTCCTCATCAAATTCATTCATGTTGGGGTTACTATTAATTGTACCGAATAGCTTTTCCTGTGCTCGTTCTATCGTCTCAAATATAGTTAAAAACTTGTAATAATTGAATATTCTTAATTGAACCAATGCTTCTTTATCTTCTCTTCTGGTCAACTTTACAGTCAGGGCCAGGAAGTTTGCAATGGCGAGTAGATAATCGAACTTTTTATCATTCTCCAGGAATATCTGTGAGCTGGATATAAGTTTCTTCTTATTCGAATTCAATTGAGTATACAAATTGATAGTAAGCGAGTTCAAGTCCTTATAAAAATATTGGAAAAGCTTAGATAGTTCTTCTATGGTTAGAGGGGCCTGATAGCGAGGCTCTTTGAGATACTTAAGGAACCCCTTCAAAAGGAGATTCACCTGTGGGTGGATATCACCCGTAAACTCGCCAGCCTTGTGCTCTATGGCTTCAATAGACGTCGCAGCTGTAGCAGTTGTAGGCGTCGGTGAAGGTGGGGGGTAGTACGGGACCGCTTGGCCAAATGTTGAGCTACTGCGCGAACGGGATGTAATTGATTCTTGGCCTGAAGCTCCTTCCTCAAACTTCATTACCGTTGGCGTTTCCGATGACACTTGATCGAAGTCGTTTGCGGCAGTCACTGGCACATTGCTTGGGTCTATAATTGAACCATGGTTCTTCTGAACTTCTTCGTAGAGATCTATCAATAGTGAATTGTTATCAGTCATATGTGGGTACTGTATATAGTGTATGTGAAACCGTGTATGATAGGCGTCCTAAAGGAATATGAATATAAAGGGCGATGCTAGGTATGAGAAGCTGGAATGTTTTTCAGCGCGTATGGTGCCGGGTTCAGCAGTAAATAAATAAGATACAGACTTGGACAAAAGTCGGAGATGTTGTTTCCCTTGTACTGGAATTAACGTAGGTACGAGCAAAGAGAAAGGATTTTTTTACTTTCCTTTTTCTACTAAGCGATAATTCCAGGTTATCACTGGGTGATATATGCAGGGATCGCTAAGAATGGTTGCAAGCTACAATCAAGCATGCAATGTGCGAGTACTGCGAAGAAGAGGTGCATAGACTGAACAATGTGGAAAAACGTTTTTGAATAGTTCGGTGCTGGGGTACGATGAGGACGAAGAGTAGTTCAGAAGAGCGTGGTAGAGTAGTAGAGTTCACATTGTGATTTGACTTACAATTCGACAGGGACAAATTATTTAGCATATGTGTTTTTGTTATTGCGCCCCTTGCTGAGTGCGCTAGTGGTTGTGAGCGAAAAGCCCAAGTAATCGGGCAGAAGGCTAAGTAGAGAATTAGTAGGGTTAGTTCGACTCAAACTTAAACCCATATATAAATTTTACAACTAAACAGCTGCTTGTAGTTTATTTTTCTTTCTTCAGTAGATATCTCTAGAACTAATCAGCTGTTTGCAGTTTTACCTCATTGTTACCTTCGACTTGGGTTGTCTTTTGAATTTTCTAGCAGTTTGGTTGCCTTTCCTTTCTCCCGTCTTGGACGTTAGATACCTTTCAACCTTTTATTTATATTCTCTTTAGTTTAGGTATTCTGTTCGCACTATTGTTTTTAGTCGTTTGAGTTTGATGGACCTGGCCCGTTTCTTCATCAATGACATGATGCGATGAGCAACTTACTTTTTTCATTTTGGTTTGGTAGCGTATTTCTGCTCAGGTTTAGCAAATGATATTCAACTCTAGTTCATGGAGGAGTATATGATATCTAACTAAATGTTTACAATTAACCACGTGTTTTGCAATGCCTTGTACCTCGCTTGTTAGTGGAGATTTCACAAACAATTTATGCGAATACCCACAGCTTAATGTTCAATATTCTCTACATCCACCTCAAGATCCTGAACTTGGTTTTCAGTCCCTCTAGCTCCCTCGACATTCCGGACCTGGTCATTCTCCGTAGCAACCTCAGCATCTTCTATCTGGTCTTCATTCTCTGTAGCCTCTAAATCCGGTACTTCGACTTCATTTTCTAAATCTACCTCGACATCCTGTACTAGGACATCATTCCCATGTTCTCCTGTGCCATCTTGATCATCAGGGAATTCCATCTTAGACACTTTGCTAATAAGAAATCTATACCACGGTGGTAGCATAATTAACCCGTAAATATACTGTATAATATTGAACCTTTTACTCTCCCAGAGTAATCTTTGCTCTCGCCTTCTACTTCCCTCTTTCTCTTGGACCTTTCTCCTCTCATCATTTTGGTCATTATAGAACAACTGAGGCGAAAAATTACCTAAAAACCACCAAAAGTGTCCGACCCCATAACGAATTAGCACTTTCCAAAAGTACGGTTGAGTCGCAACCTTTTGAAAGAACAGCAATAACCTTTCCAAATGGCTCCCACGTCTTCCGGAGAAGAGTTCGTAAACATCTTTTTGAAATTCAAGCAGAAATAATACGTCGATTATCGTATAAACCCAAGGTAAATAGGCACTTGTCACCCCTAAAACTCCCATCAAGTTTACCACAACATCAGGGTTATTCTTACACCATATGTATAATATAGCATCATTCAAGATGGGACCCAATTTCCATACTGTGAAGTATCTTTTGTGCCAGCCTAAGGTAACGACAGCCACAATTGATGCACATACTAAGAAAAGAAAATACAAGTAGTCCAAAGTCTTGAGAGAGTCTATCCATTTAGTCATTTCCCGCCATTGACGTGGTGAGAGCTGCCGTACCTTCTTGATAGGAAACAATGACTTATTGGTTTGATATGATTCTTCTAAATATCTTGACAGTCTCATGAGGAAGAATACACTTACTATGAGCTCGATAGAGAGCGAACCGTAATAACAAAACGACGTTATTAGGAGCCACGGCTGGCGACCGAATGCTCGTTCAATTGAGAACATAAATTGATTCAGAGAGCATAGGCCAATGGATGTAAGTACCGCCGTTATTATAATAGAAAGAGACCAATACCGAGTAACCGGTGGGATCTCGGTAGCCCAACGTAGCGCTTGATCCATTTTGCTAGTGTATTATATATCTGTGCTGATGCTGGCTTGGTACACGTATTCTCAGCTAAAGAGTGACGAGAGCATTGATGCTCTGTTAGCTTGGTCTTGTTTTTCGTTCATATGTGTGCGAAGAACTGTGCGGCTCATGCTGCAATCTGTAAGTTGCAAATATCGATCAGTCGGTAGTTTGCCAGACTTGTCGGTACAACGGTTGGTCCAGATAGTCGAGTAAGGTGGCGCTGATACTTTGACAGCAGTATAATGGTTAGTTATAGTGGGAAAATTTATTTCTATTCACATTGCCTTAGGTGTAGCTGACTAGGATCCCTTGCATCTACATATACTCTTTTTTTTGAGTGGAGCTATACATATGTAACCAATACCTCATAACAGATTGAAGTCTTTCGTTCCTTTTTGGGAGAGAACTCTCAATTATAAGGTGATAATAGGGCATGTCTACTCTGTTACAGTACAGTTATGTTCTTTTCAGCAGTGTTTTTCTGCAAAGTACGGGGTCCAACGTTGCTCTATTGTTCCTCCCTTTGCTCTCTTCAAGACTTCTCACCGCGATTGCTTGAAAAATCAAATTCTAATGAACACCGAAGTGGCAAGACGATAGTACTTTTCTTTCGCTGTCCCAAGTTAAACTATGAGCAATAACATAGCTTCTTTAATATCCTCGAAGCAAGACCTGAAGTTGCCTCAATGTATTTTGGAGCCCTATGTCTATCTTGAATCTATACCCTCTAACAATAAAAATGTCAGATCAACTTTTCTCCGAGCATTCAATGAACTATACTACCATATAGATGATGCTGAGCTCCTAAAAAAAATAGAAGAGGTGATAGCGATATTCCATAATGCGTCACTTCTTATTGATGACATAGAGGACAACTCCAGCTATAGAAGAGGGCTCCCTACCGCACATACTCAGTTTGGCGTACCGTTGACAATAAATAGTGGAAATTTGATGTACTTCGTTGCATTGGAAAGGGCCATGAAACTAGCAGAATTCAGACTTGACGAACACCAAGGAAGGTTGGCTGTAATGATTTCTGAGATCCTTACCGAGGAAATGCTTAACTTACACCATGGACAGGGTTTGGATATCTATTGGAGAGACAACAAGGCTAGCATTCTGAATCCGCCTACTGTAGATGAATACCTACAGATGATTATGAATAAAACTGGTGGTCTCTTCCGGTTATCGGTGAGACTTTTGGAATGTTTTACTTCGGAAAAGGAAATGGAAGGCAAAACCAATGTTCCACTAGCTAATCTTCTTGGGATTATTTATCAAATTCGAGACGACTACCTCAATCTTGTAGATCCAAACTATTCTCATATGAAGGGTTTCACTGGTGAAGATCTCATAGAGGGGAAACTTTCCTTACCAATTTTGCACTCTTTACTAACCAGTAACGATTCGACAGATTCTGTAAATTATGATGCTTGCTCCCCAGTGAAATCAGTTCTCATGATGAAGGACAGAGACTCTTTAAAAGCTAACCAAACGTTAATTGCAGAATCCATAGAGTATATGAAGTCCAAAACTAACTCTCTTACTTATTCTCATTCTCTATTGAAGGAATATCAAGTAATGGCAAAGGAAATGATCGGAGCTGAGAATTGTTTGCTATTGCAGGTTTTAAATCAACTATGTGATATATGATATGAATAGAATATGTATTTATGAATAATTATGTACGGGATGATGCTGAACTATACATAGATATAATGCTGGGTGTAGGTGTAATTTTCGTTTTTCGTTTTCACTTTGGTTGCTTTCTACACTAATGATGCTCTTCTTGCAAGGACTGAAGTATCCTGACTTAGCCTTTGCAAGAAGAGGTCCAAATCGAAGGTGGAAAAATCCTCAGCCTTATGGGCACTTCCTGGTAGAAGACTGAATCTATTCTTTTCGTACTCGAGATTCTTCGGAACTAGCTGATTCAGCAAAGCTACGTCTATTGATGAATCTTTGAGTCCTTCTCTAACTTTGTCTATTAGCTCCTGGTATGAATGTGATAATATAATTTTATCTTCAAACAGTGTTGTGGATCTTTGTGTATCCGCAAGCTTTGGTGGGAAAGTCAAATGGCCACTTTCAGCTTTGGGGTTTTCTTTCACCCAGGAAGGGTTTTTGATAGAATTTGGATAAAAGTATTTAGGCTTATTTCTGGTGAAGAATCTGCTTACCTCTTTGAACTTTTCATTAAGCCTTCTAGGTGCTGGTTTCTTTATCATACTACGTTCTACTTTCACGTTTTTCAGATGAGCAGCAACTCTGGTGGACTTTCTTGTCTTTCTGATTATCGGATCATTTTGTTCTTCTTCTTTCACTATGATTTGGTTTCCCTCTTTCTCATATTGATTTGAAAATCTAGAACTATCTTTAGTAATCGAGCACAGTTTCAATTCTGGTTGGCTTAAATACTTTTGTATTCTATTAGGTGGTATATCAGCTTGCAACTCTTTCTCACGAAGCTTAATTTCTTCAAACCTTTCTAGATCTAAATTCAAACTATTTCTTTTCCTATTTTTTGGTCGAGATATTTTAGATTCCATAATATTGATGCTTGAGAAATTAGAATCTGAATCGTAGGGTAATATAAGACCAATAAATTTAATGATTTCAAGAATGAAGCACTCGTGGAGTGTAGTGGGTAGGGTGTAGTAGGCACATACAGAATACTCATCACGTCCTGCATACAAAACTGGAGTAGCATCGATTCACAAGTAAGCTATACAATAAGGAACACTAAAAAAAAAGTCATTTTTGGCTTTATCTGAACTATATCCTGGTCAAAGGAAGTGGCAGGCTCTGTCTCGAAGATAGGCAGCAATTACCTATTTTTAAGAAGTTGAAGCTTACAAGTCAATAGTAGGTGGGATTTAAAGCTTTTCACGTGACTTGATGGGAACTGGCATAAGATGAAAAAATTTATATCTGAAAAAATTCTCCTACCTTTATCGTTTATTATCAATCTTATTCTCCACACATAAAATGCTTTATTTGATTGGGTTAGGGTTATCGTATGATTCAGATATCACAGTACGTGGTTTAGAAACCGTTCGTAAATGTAAAAGAGTATATTTGGAGGCTTATACATCTATTTTAATGGCAGCTGATCAATCAACCTTAGAAAAGTACTATGGTAGAGAAGTTATTTTGGCTGATAGAGAGTTGGTCGAAACCGGATCCGATCAAATCTTGGAAGGAGCTAAAGAAGATGACATTGCATTTTTAGTCGTAGGCGATCCATTCGGTGCTACCACTCATACTGACCTTATCATAAGAGCTAGAGAATTGGGCATCCCTGTAGAAGCTATTCATAATGCGTCAGTAATGAATGCAGTTGGTGCATGCGGCTTACAATTGTATCAGTTCGGCCAAACTGTTTCATTGGTTTTCTTCACGGATTCTTGGAAACCAGATTCGTTTTATAATAAAGTAATGGAAAATAGAAAGATTGGTTTACATACTTTATTACTTCTCGATATTAAGGTTAAAGAACAAAGTATCGAAAATATGGCTAGGGGTAGATTAATCTACGAACCTCCAAGATATATGGATATCGCAACTGCTGCACAGCAATTGCTTGAAATCGAAGAGCTTAGAGGAGAAAAAGCTTACACACCTGACACACCATGTGTGGCAGTTTCCAGATTGGGCTCCCCACAACAGAAATTTAAGGCTGCCACTCTAAGTCAGTTGGCAGAATACGATAGTGGTGAGCCATTACATTCCTTAGTCATGCTTGGAAGACAGGTGCATGATTTAGAATTGGAATATTTGTACCAATACGTTGATAATAAAGAAGAGTTCAAGAACTTTGTAGTTGAAGATCAAGAATTTTTCAAGCCACCTCCATATGTTCCTGCTGAAGAAGTAGACAGCGATTAAGAAGTCAAATCTATATTAGGTCAACTGCTTTCAACGTGGTTTTTGTATATTAAATAAATAATTTCTTTGAATTAAAGTCATCTAATCTATCTATTCTTCAAAGTCTCAAGCGTATCTAACTCACTAATAACGTTCTCTTGAATATCCCAAATTAGCCAGTCGTACAACCCATATGTGGCAGGAATAATGGTAACCAAGTGCCACAATGCATGTGCATCAATCAAGTCATAGAAAAAGGGTGGGAAGTCGAAAATCTCTAGTGACATCCCAGACGCAACAATTAGCAGAAGAACCAATGGGTAAAGTGAATATAACTTAGGAGATCTGGTAAAGAAGCTGGATAGTATTGTGCGGCTCGTGTTGATGTATTTGATATGACTAGGTATCAATACGACCTTTTCAGATTCATTTTGGGCTTCTAATGAGTAGAATGAGCTATATAGGTTGTAGCAAAGTAGACACCAACAACAGTTTTGCAAAAGTGCAACAGCTACATTCGCTTGCATATTATACGTATACAGCCAATCGACAATAAGTTTGGTAACGTGGGCGAAATATGCTACACAACACCCTAAGAACAATGCAAGTGCCTGCTGCTTCTTCTCTGGCAAGTATAGTTTGAAGACTCTAGCAGCAATACCGTGGAAACCTGTTAACACTGTCAATCCTGCAAGAAAATAGTCTGTTTTCTCGGTTAACTCAAAGTCTCTGATGTGGAAAATCGTAGAAGCCACCCACGCACACATGGTGACGATAGCCATGCTTAAAGCATTAGTATATTGCCACTGATTCAATGGGTTACCGCTATTAATGCGAATTGCAGCTATTATTTTTTTGGCACCCACAAAATGTGGTATAAAGTTCCCAATTGAAAATATTACGCTTGCCAACTCTTGTATACCTAAAACTCGCTGGAAGGGCCATTTTCCGTGAAATTGAAGTATCTCGTGTCCCTCATCTATACGTATCTGGGTCACAATTCTTTGACACTGGTAGTCACAGTTCAGCTCGCAACCCCATCCAAGAGCAACTAAATGAAAAGGGAGGGGTATAGTGTCGAACTCCCACGCGTCGTTGTAGTCAGGTAACCAATCGCGGTCCCATCTATAGTCAGACTTATAATCTACATTGTTGTAGCATGATAGTTGAACGCATTGATAAACACAATCATCAAATATGAACAAATCATCACCATCAGATGCAACGACTGAGGCTGTGCAAAAAAAGAACACAACCGCAGCTGATATACTATACCACATTATGGCCTAACGTCTATCCATCAGACTTTCCAATCTAGCACTTTTTTTTCTTAGGACTATTTTAATTAATTGTTTTTTTTTTTTTTTTTTTTTTTTGGTCTTCTGTCGTAGTCGGGTACTACCGAATTGGTGAGGCATGCATATAGTCAAGAGTGAAACTCAAGAGGATGCGTCCAGAGTTTCAGATCAAATTATATACAAGTATGAAACATGCGATGCACTAAAGTTGCATCAAAAGTTAAAATGATTCTAGAACTGGGGAAAAGTGGATGTTAGTACCATGTCATTACCAGATTTGGCATCCATGCAGCGCTGTATAATTCTGGGTATTGTTTTCTCAATGTTTGTTGTTGGCAGTGATGCTGCTACCAGCCCTCATCGACTTTAAGCAGATTGACGCATAAGAGAAAAAAATATTTTCGAAATGAGTGGACGTGAAATACTTGGGGAAATTAAAGTTTCTCCAGTATTTGCAAATCATACAATACTTACATAAGCTTCTTATCGTTTCTGGTATATGTACCTATGGAATCATATACGTTGAAAATTCGCAAACCCCGGCTTAGTCAGTAATAACATTGTATCATTGGCGCTCCTCTCTAGCCTCTCCAGCCTTTGCTGCACTACAAGTCATGCTCTCGCTAGCAATATTGCAAATTCGCCCTTTTGGGCTCCCTTTTGCACGTGCTTTGCATCCACAGTTAACCATCTCCCATACATTAGATCATGTGGCTCACAGGAGATAAGAGATCATTGTGGCACCAACCTTTGATATTGTACAATATGCTTGTATTATGACTGAATAAGACAAGAAGAGCGCTAGAAGTGAAAGGTCTGGAATAGGAAAGGTTAAGCTGATGCAGTAGGTGGTATAAAAGGTGTTAAAGTATGGATTTTGGGAAAGTTCAATTAGGAAGATCACTCTCCTATACCCCACAAAGACTGCTACAAGGCCGCTATTCAAAAAATGAGTAACTACTACATATACGGATCCGAATTGAACGACCCAATAATCAGAGAATTGGTTAAAAATGCTCCAGATGTAGAAATAAACACAGAGAGCCCAGACTGGAAAGAAGAGGTTGCTCTGGTCAAATACCCAGACTACCTTCATCCAACCGAACCCGAAGACGAGGGAAAGTACAACGCTTTCACAAACCCAGATGGTGCTAAGAATGATAAAGGTCACTTGGGTGACAAAACTTTCAAGAACTTGTTTGCTAAAAAAAGCCCCAAGTTCTCCACGTTCGATTTGAGTCCAAATTTAGGTACAGAAATCGATGGAATTCAACTTAGTGAGCTTGATGATGCTGGAAAGAACGATTTGGCTTTGTTCATCGAAACTAGGGGTCTTGTTGTGTTCCGTAATCAAGACCTTAGAGACAAGCTGCCACAATTCTCGTCAGACTTTGGTAAGTACTTTGGTCCTTTACACGTGCATCCAATTTCACTTTCTCCTAAAGGACACCCAGAGTTACTTGTCACCTACCGTAAAGCAGGAGACTCAAGTAGATATGCAAAGGCATTCGCTGGTACCCATAACCTTGGTGCATGGCACTCCGATATCAGTTTTGAAGAATATCCTGCCTCATTCTCATTCTTTGTCGCCTTGGAAGCTCCTCCATCGGGTGGTGACACTGTCTTTCTTGATACTAGAGAGGCATACAGAAGATTATCTCCACCTTTGCAAAAATTCTTTGAATCACTTACTGTAATTCATTCTAACTACTACCAAAACTTGCGTGGACTTCTCAAAAATAAGGTTCCAAAAGTCAAAGCAGATTACTTCACAGAACATCCTTTGGTTAGAACTCATCCAGTAACTGGTGAAAAGGCACTTTTCTATTCGAGAGCTTTCGTTCAAAGGATTAAAGGTGTGAAGCCCCACGAGTCTGCTGCAATCTTGAATTTACTCAATGAGCATGTCTTAAATAACCCTGAATTTCAAGTTAGAGCAACTCACAGAGGAACTGATAGTAGAACAGTCATTGCCTGGGATAACAGATTAACCCTCCATACTGCCACCACTGACTTCTTGCAGCACGAAACTGGCCCTCGTCATCATTACAGAATTACTGTTTTAGGTGAAAAGCCATATCTTGAACAAGAAGATGAAGCTAAGAATGGTCAGTCCAATGGCCACTCTAATGGACATGCTAATGGCCTTTCCAATGGTTCCTCTAAATAACTTAGACCGAATGGTTCTGGTGATAATATAATATACGACCGCCGCATAATTGCGGATAAATGAATTTTGAAAGAGTAGTGCTACAAAGTTCTAAGTGCTTTGGATTGAGCTCTGCAACCTTCGTAATACATAAGTCAATTAAAATGCTACACTTCTTTAAAAAATAAAACATTAAACATTAATAGTCACAATAAGTACTAATTCACAATTCTGCATATACGTCTCCCACCTCTTAATTAACCTTTTCGATTCTACCTGTCTTCACGTCATAAATATACCCTGAAATTGGTACATCAAGAACTAATGGACTCAGCTTAAGAAATTCAATGTCATCAATCACACTCTGTTTCAAGTTTGAAAACGGTAAGAAGGCAATTGTGTCAGCTGCAGCTGCATAGTTTGCGGGGTTCGAGGAGTCCTCTCCTTCCTTCTTAATTATGTCTCTAATATCCTTATCAGTAAAAGTTAACATCCCACAGTCGGTATGGTGTACAATCACTATTTCTCTTGTACCCAATAACTTCTGTGAGATTATCACACTACGAAGTGCGTCAGAAGCTCTTCCCCCTGCATTTCTGATTACATGTGCATCACCTTCCTGCAAACCAAGCGAAGCAGCAGGGTCAATCCTTGCATCCATGCATACAATTACTGCAACCTTCCTAGCAGGAGGAAGTGCTAAGTCTCCTTTGGTAAATGCCTTCACGTAAGCTTGGTTACTGTTTTCGAACTCTGAAGCTACTGTCATATTCGTTTTGTCTGACTGATCAATAAGGCTGTCAAAGAATTATATTTCTTCTCAATTACACAAATAAAGAGAAAAATATCGAAGCGCTAATTCTTATAGATGTATTTATTTAAATTCTATTTTATAGTACCCCCTATTTCCCTGTTGATTTTATATATATATATATTGTACAATGGCACATGACGCCCCATATTCAAGAAATTTACTCTTTCTTAATGCAATTACCTCAATTAAGTAGTATCTCTATTTAAAGTTCATTTTCGTGCTCCTCCTTTGAGAAAATTGTGGCTGCAAAATAATAAGGAAGTTAACACTTGCGATGATTTCAGTTCTAGTTCAAAGGCTGCAGAAAGTCTGTACACTACACAGACTTTGAATCCTCGCTTAAAACCCGGTCTCTAAGCTTTTTGTTAAATCTACTGGTAGATCTATTGTGAATTAATTTGATATGTCTTTTGAGCGAGTCGCTTCTGCTGTAATGCTTGCCACAATTAGGTACGTTACATTTGTAGGACAACAGCGAAATTAAATCCGCCGTTTCGGGATCTATTCCTCTTGCAATCTTCCCTTTATTTAAATGGGTCTCGAAGCAGTGTTTACGTAACTCTGCTCTTCTAATTTTTCTTTGACTCCATGGACAGTCTCGCACAGGACATCTAAGAAGTGTTCTACGTGTTTGGTTTGATTGATGATCCAGATCATCATCATATTGGTAGTTCCTGTCTTGTAAGTTTGGTGAATGTTCATTATGTTGTAAAGGTACCGGCTCTGACGAAGGTTGCATAATTGGCTGCAAATGTGGTAAATTAGAAGGATGGTTGTGATATTGGAAGGGTGATTGAGGCTGAGACAAATGAATTAGGTTTGTGTATGGACTCTGCATTTTGTGACTGGGTACTTTCATACCTGACATTTCTGGGTGTATTTGATCTGCCTGAGGGACAAGTATACTCTCATGTGGATGGCCGGGAAGTGGGACTCCCTGCATTTGGTTACCTGGAGTTATTTGACCACCAAGTTGGTACGGGGATGTAAGATGGTAATAATGTTGTTGGTGCAGTTGCTGGTGGGATTGTTGCTGCTGCTGTTGCTGCTGTTGCTGCTGTTGCACCACCATCTGTTGTTGGTAGAGCATTTGCTGATGCTGTTGCGAATGCTGTTGTTGAGGGTTTTGGGGTGCTAGTAAATGCTGCTGCAGTTGTTGATGTAGTACCTGCGGTTTCTGTTGCAGCTGATGCTGCTGCTGTAAATATAATTGTTCTTGCTGCATCAAAAGTTGCTGCTGCTGCTGCTGCTGCTGCTGCTGCTGTAGCTGTAGTTGATGTTGATGTTGGCCCTGATCTAGAGGCTGCATGTACTCTTCGTATTGTCTCGACGGTACTGCCACTGCAGCATGATAGACATCACGAAAGTTATCTTCCATTACAGGATATCGGTTGTCCTGTGGGCCAGGGTTACCATAGTCCATAGTCGTTCTAACCCATGGAATACCCGGAGAATCCATTTGTCCTTGGGTATTACTACTATCACCAAAATTTATGTTACTATTTTCACGACTTTGTTCAGACATATATGGGGTGATGGGTAAATATTTAGGTTGACTGGAAGTAGTTATCATTATTAGTTGAAGTTTTTTGGGCCTTCTACGATTTTAGGACTCTCGATTATTTTTAAAGTTAGCCTATTTATTTTTTCTAAATTTTTTTTTTTCCAGCTACATAAAGATTCCAGGAATGGTACACAAATAACAGGTTACTTTCCAGCTGTTCAAAGTTACTTAATCTAGGAGGCGTTCCACAGACGCAAAAAACGTCTATCGTCCATGTTAGGGATTCTAATTCTTTTAAAAACGTATTTAATTAAGTTTAATCTTTTTTTTTTTTTCCTTCATAATTTTTATTATTTTTTTTTGTTTCTTAATCTGTACTATTTTGCTGAAACTTATGCATGAAGTGGAAAAGTAGTGCGATAAGTGTTAATGGAACTCCGCTAATGCAGCATGGTAAATTCTTTAAGAAAATATCGATCACGAATGATTTGGAAATAATTATGTGTCAAGAATTGAAATGGATTCCGGATCATGGAACCCGGCATTGAAGTACGAACTTGGGAAGACCTTAAACCTTTCTCTCGTACATATTTTCAAGGTAGAGAATTTTATCTATGCATTCTACTTCCGTCATTCTACAAAACTTTTACATTCTTGTTTTGTGCTTTTTTTGGGGATTCTAAATTAGAGCGGAAAGAGTCTCGATTTGCGTTCCTGTTGTAATGAGAGGTATGCATGGAAAATCGGACGATGTTATGCGAGTTTTATGCATAAAAGCTTAATTTAAAGTGCAGGTACTTTCCCAAAAATAAGAGGTGCCATTCATTTCACATACTTTGAAACCTAAAAAAAAAGTGCAACCCGAGGACCGACTGGAATAGGAAAGCTAGGTCAAGCGCTGTTCAAATAGGAATAAAAATAAAATAAAATTATGAGTTAGATCGTAATTGCTTGGACCTGAGTAGTACCGGAGTAATATAAATAAACAGCTACTTCTGGTTTTCAAGTTTTGCGTACCTCCGCGCTCCTAACCAAGATTAGAGTTTGTCTAGGTCTCCAGCAATACATTCCACTGTATTTTCTTTAGTCAAAAAGTAAACTACAGTTGCAGGTACTGTGGGGTTGATGTGACATGAATCAACAGATTTGTAGACCTGATCCGGGCCTAAAGAAAAAATAAAAATTAAGAATTGCTCAGTAGTACTTGACCTATTGCGTTGGTTATTGTTCGCGGAACATTTAGTTATCTAACCCTGCAATATTTTCGGCCCTTACATCAAATTTTTTCACAGCTTGCGTTGTCAAGTTCACTTACGAGACAACATACTAGGAATTTTATTTTAAAAGCTTTTTTTTAAAGGTGCTTCTAGAAAATAATTAGGTGTTGGGAAAAATAGGAAACTCCACTTTTGCTACCTCTTTTTTAGCGTTGACCCTTACTGCTTCCCGAATTTAGTTCGGCATCCTAATTCTTCAAGGCGCAAACGACTTTCAGTTTATTTTCTATTGATTGGCTTTGAAGGAGCCTAATTTTCTTGTCTTTATTTCTTACAATATAGGTCGAGTACTTCGAGATAATAACATCGGGTTTAACTTTTCGATCCTTGCATCGGGTTCTCACTCGTGCGGCTGACATTTACCAACAATTTGGTTCCAGGCAGATGAATTCCGGGCTCGATGACTAGAGCACAACAAGGAATGGGGAATGGTTCTCACAGGCTCCCGACAGAATTGAAAGTCACTACAGTTATTTTTATTTTACAATTTTTGTAACCAGAAGTTGTTGCATTACTCATGGAAGTAATTATGCATGGAAAACATTCCAAATCCTATAACTAGTTCTGCGACGATTCTAAATGTGGCATATCGCCATGCTTGAATAACTATATGTAAGAGAAACTTTATTTTCATTTAGTGGAACAATTCGTTTCATGTGCACTGAGAAAGACATTGTGATGGAGTCTCCACGGAACTACTGGGAAATGAATTTAACTTCAAATAAGCTCGGTAGATGTGGCTATATTTTGAACTTTAATTTTTATCTTCTAAAAATAATTGCCATGTTGGGTCACATTTTCACATTTCCTCTTGCATATTTACCTACCAATCATAGTTGCAATTGATCAAAAATATATATGATAATAGATTTTAGAAAAATATGACAAATATGAAAAATAAAATCAAGTTTATGAAATATTATCCTTCATCTGTTATTGAATGACATCAGACTTTTTTAGGACAAACGCGTAGAAGGGCGTGCTTCATTTAGACTAATTTCATAGTATCTAATTTATGATTTCTTTTTATTACTATTTATAAAATACAATACACTAGCCTAATAATGAAAACATTATCATATACATGCATGATTGCTTCCCCTTTCTATACACAGTGATTAGCTTACGAGTTATTTAAGGTTTTTCTCTCCTGATACTCAATTTCCCCGGGTGAAGAATGTGCCGCATGTATTCCACTTTTAGATTAGCTTGGAGATGAAGGTTGATGTCAAATCCACAAATTTAGAGCGGATTACCGCTCTTCATCAAGATGGTAAGGGCAAAACTTTAACCTAAATACCTTACTAGCCATATACTAAGTATGTCAGTATGGCACGCACATCGCCGAAGAAGTAAATAAAAGCGATGCCGTGTGAAATGGCAAGGCATTTGATGATTAGACAGAAATCAGATAATGAATATTTTTTAACATCATTAAGTTTGATACTGATGGCGGTCATTTGCCTAGTTCTGACACTCAGTTATCTATTTATTATTCAATCTTGACTAAAATATCATATCGACCGTAATGTGCATATTTGCAGAACTGAGGCACGATTGAGTATCTGCTTTCTATAAATATTGTGTATATATTTTTTCATAGTGGGCGCCATACTACATAGAGAGAAGTACATCTACACTAATTTACTCCAAAAAGAACTTACTTTCAGTGCATTTAAATTTAACCATGAAAAGTTTATTCATGGTCCCACATAGAACAATTTGCTTCCACCCACATATTCCATGTCATGCTATGTGGAGCTTTTCCAAACTGAGCGTACGGTAAAGTAATTCCCATATCGTGAAGTGGTACTATCATGGAAAGTTACACAAAATTGTTGGGGAGCAGAGATTCTTCAACAGACTGCTCACTCAAGTGTGGTGGGTAAAACGACTCGTCGCGCAATATAACAGCAAGCAGTAGATGTGACTATACAGTATTATGTCTACCTTGTATAAACGCAACCGGTCAAAGTCATCAATGTTCATTTTAAACCCGGCAATTGAATCTCTTTCTCCTCATCTCGTAGACCCGGACTGAAAAAACGTGACTTCTCAATTCCTATGACTCTTCCACAGTACAAATCATTATATACTCATCTTGTTGGATTATGCGATAAACAAAGTTAAAATCCCTTGTATTGGTTTTCTTCCTTTCTTCTTTTTGATTCTCTCACAATGTTAAAATTAATAGTTTAAATAATTATGAGGACCTCGTTGGATGAAGACTCATTGGCTACATCATCCAGTCACTCTTCAGTACCTGATATTGAGGCCGTTGCTGGGTTGGTTAGGGAAAATGACGAAATTTCAACGCTTGACGGAGATGTGCAAAATGTCCCGACAGCGGCACCGAGTATCGCAGACGAAGCATTGTCTAGAAAATTGACACAAATTCAATCAAGACGGAGTGAAGGTGTCAATTCGAACATCTCAGCTGCAAGGAGGCTAAGTGGTACCGCCGTGCCACTTGAAAGTGTCCCCAAAGTTAATAAATATGAAAGGTTCACAAATTCAAAAAAATATCTAATGGTTGCATTAGCATCTAGTTCATGTTTCCTTTCACCAATGTCAGGTTTGGCTTTCTTACCTGCTGTGCCAGAAATTTCTGCTGATTTCCATACCACTGGTGAAATAATCAATATTTCTGCAGCGGTGTATTGTGTGTTTATGTCAATGTCACCGTGCGTGTTTTCTCCATGCTCTGACATTTATGGCAGGCGCCCAACGTTTATAGTATGCTTGGTATTTTTCAGTCTTTGCACAGTTTTGGTGGCAGTCCTGCAAAATTTGGCCATGTTTTACGTGTTTAGAGCATTACTGGCTCTTTTTGGTACAGCATTTTTCACTACTGCAGCGCATATGATGGGTGATATATACAAACCGACGGAAAGAGGAACAGCCATGGGATTAATTTTGTGCGGTACTCAGGCTGGGCCTGCATTTGGTCCAGTAATTGGAGGTATTATTGTTACATATACTTCTTGGAGAGTAATATTTTGGGTGTTGGCTGCTTGTGGGGCAGTTATGGCAATAGTTGTGATTATATTTATGCCCGAAACAGCTGTGGAAACCAAGATGCAAATTCTTCTCAAAGAAATCCATATTGACAACCCTAAGAAGAAGTTTGTATGGATTTCTTACAACCCATTTAGAGTCATTGATGCTCTCAAATATCCCAATCTATTCTTAGGTGGTTTTATTGTAATGTCGTTGACATTTACTATGTATGGCCTCTTAACTCCAATCAGATACGTGGTAGACCCAAGATTTAAATTGACCTCACCAATATATGGAGCTCTATTTTATCTACCACCTGGAGTTGGCTACCTTGTTGGGAGCGTATTCGGTGGTCGGTGGGCTGATTATGTAGTGAAAAGAAATATTAAACAAAAGAACGGAAAGAGAATTCCTGAAGATAGAATAAAGGCAATTTTAATTCCTTTGGGAATTGTATATCCATGTTCAATATTAATATATGGATGGACATTAGAGAAAGAAAAAGGGGGGATGGCAGTTCCTATCATATTTCTGTTTATCTCAGGGGTTGCCCAAACCTTCGTATTTCCAGCTTCTAATACATATTGTGTGGATTCCATGCCAGAATTAGGAGGTGATGCTGTCGGCTCTTCGTACTTCTCCCGTTACATTGCTAGTGCAATTGCCCTGGCAACATGTTTGAGAAGTATAGAAAGTATAGGCATCGGCTTAACTTGTACAATTAGTGCATGCGTCTTATGGATTGCTCTCGGGTGTGCCGTGGTGCTTATTTTATATGGTGAGAGACTCAGAGTGAATGCCTTAAATAAATATGGATTGAGGAGCTCAAAGAATTTTGATAACCCCAAGAATGATAAGTGACAAATTACTAACAGGACTGAAAGAAAGGGAATTTCGACATTTAGTAAGTGTGACTAAAATTTTCAGCTAAATAACTTATAGAAATAGAAAATTATAGAAAGAAGTATGCTCGCCATAATAATTAATATAAAAAATTAACCTTATAGACTCCAAGGAAAGTACTCGCAAGTGATATTTCTCACACAGTAACGATTTTATCGATAAGATCTTAGACATTAGTAATTCGGATTTGGCAAGGAGTTAAGAATTTAAATTTCGCAGCCATTGAAGTGAAACTATAGCGCAGTGGAAAAAATTACTAAGCAATATGTCAGAAGTTCGCGTTTGCTAGGAAATAGAGGAGCACAATAAATAACCCAAGAGCCGCAGCTTGATATTCATGGAGATAAAATTGATGCAACAAGTGCCAGAAAGTAATAAAGAGTAGGAGGAAACAAGACTTTCATGTAGAGATAAGCGAAGGAAGGTACTATTGACTGATGAAATCTAAAAAAGTTTTGATTGGGATTACCTCATACTATGGTAAATTTTATGCAGACGGGAAGAAAACGGGATTGTTTATTGCCCCAGCTATTCAAGCATACAAAATATATCGAAGAAAGGGATATGAAGTTGATTTTACTTCAGAGGATGGAACTTATGGGATCGATGAATATTCACTTCTGTATGAAAATTTAAAAGGTGAAGACCTCATTATCTATGCATGTGAAAATTCTGACTTCAATGAAAAATTGAAGAAATTAAAAAGAGCGGATGAGATTGACAGTAGAGAATACGAAATTTTTTATGCAACACTGGGGTATGGTTGCCTTTTCGATTATCCACACTCCAAGCTTTCAGAATTGGCTTCCGAAATATATAATCAAGGCGGAATTGTTGCTGCTATCTGCCATGCTCAAATAATGTTTGATGGATTGAAGAACAAAGAAACTGGCAAGTTTTTGATAGAAGGTAAGGTGATTACAGGCTTTCCAGAGATAGGAGAGAAATTAAATTTAGTATACGATACATTGGTGCAAGAGAATCTCCCCACTATCCCAACAATTGCAAAAAGAAATGGAGCTAAATATTTATCACCAGTTGGACCATTTGACGATTTTTCCATTGCTGACGGGAGAATAATAACAGGTGTAAATGCGGCATCTGCAGCTTCTACCGCCTTACGCACTTTGACTGTTATCAAAGAAATTAGATCCAAGCTCACTCCAGAAAAAAAAGGTCACCAAATATAACTCCGTTGCAACTCCGAATGCGCGTTTCTGCAAGAAATGCACTTCTTGGTTTACAACTCCGTTGCAGAGATTTGCACATTTCCTTTAATTGTATCAAAGAATGTATATGACATATTAATTAGTATGCTTGAATCACCAGCCTAATAGGTTCTTTTGTTCTAAGTTTAATGGATGTGAATGTACCCATATTTACTAGTAGCAAGTGTAAGCATAAATCTGCTTTATGTAGGATCTTCGAGTTAATGTTGGCAAAAGACGAAATTTTTATTTCTTTTATCAAATTCTCTTCGGCTCAGTTGAGAAGATGGAAAAGATAACTTCTAAGATGGCCAGGCGGTTCCCACTCTGTCTGTAAGAAATCCCTACTTTTTTGTGACTTGCTATATATACATGAAATCCTATTGAAGTTTTAACGACGCACCTTGAGCACGAGATACTTCTTAAAATGAAGGCTCAAGAATCATACTTGGTTTGAAACATAGAAGACATCTCTTTCTAATATGATGATGGCAGGAAACTCATATTCTGCTTCCTGTCTTTCATGCCGGATAGGGTGGGGTTCACCTCAAATACTATAGGAGATACGGTTGAGTAATATACTCTGTTCTACAATAAAATATTGCAAAGTACATGAGAATGTTTTCAAGACTGTGATTCCATCTGGAGCTTACAAATATATTTCGCAACGATAAACAAGCTAATATTCATATTTTTTGGTTTCTTTTCTCAAAAGTTAACTCGTCTGTATTCAGAAGATTTTAATGAACGAGATGGGGTTCGTGGACGGAGAGTTTCTAAGCATAAACTGTTTTCAAATGCTGACTCAACATCCAATAGAATAAGAATGAAAAATTTAGGCTTCGTGCCGAAAAATGTAAAGATAGTTTAGTACTGACGAATGACAAGTCATGTTGAAGCTATCAACTTGAAGGTATTTGACATATCTTCTGTTAGGGGAAAAAGATGAAGAGGATTGATTGTCTTGGAATTTAGGACGAGGTCGAGTTCACAATTAATTGTTCTTGTGCCTTTAAATACAGTAATGTCTTCAGTCTTATTGCCAATTGTAACAAGAAATAAACTAATTTGCTATGAGTAGCACAAGGAACGCTAGTGAAGTTTGCTTTAGCACACTTCAATATTATTTTGAAATCGCGGCAGCTATTAGTGGGTCAAAAATATTCAATGTATGATAGTGTCCCAAATCAAATTATTAGGATCCTCTTTTACATTATTGAATATTTCACTACCTACTTGATAATATTCTCTCGGTTATGTCGCCAAAGCCTTGGAGTGCTCATCGCGAAATTAATTAGGTCTATTGTTAATAATATAATACATGTGGCTTATGAAACCTAAATTGCGAGGCGTAAATCTGTCATAGCCCTCATCCTCCCAAACCGTTGATAGCATTACATGTAGAAAGCTGCCTAAAAGCTTGGTGATATCAGCCAGCGAAATAGATACTTGCGATGGTCTTTAAGAAAGCTTCCAGAAAAGCTTTGATCAATAGAAAGCTTAGATAATATCCTCAATGCATGGCGCTAATGTATTCGGTGCAAATTTTGATAGAGTAAATGAAGGTTTAAATGTTTAGATTGCTACGATTATAAAAGTTATTCTGTTATCTATGAAACCTTAGTACTACTCAATATGCGGATATTGCCAAGTGTGTTTAGCATTCTGCTGCTATATTTTTGTTTACTGTTGGCACCCTTTCTTTTTTCTTTCACAAAGCTAAGGAAATGAAACGTTTGATGGATAACGTTTATCTCCATTAAAAATACTGGCACTACCCATACGCATTTAATTATTAATAGGAACTTTATATTTTTATTAAAGTCTATTTCTGTGAATATAGTACAAAATATGTGAAAAACAAATCAACTAGCGATGGTAATACCCTTAGTTATAAACAATTACTTTGTAAATTAAATTCTTTTATAAAAGTGTAAAGTTAAAAAAGTAAGTTTGAGAGCAAGTGACAGCTTTAGGCGTGCATGCACAGAAGATGTACATCGTGTGCATGCAGTATTGATAAAATTTACAGATAAGAACCTAAGCTAAATTGCTCGCGTAGAGCCTTCGGTTGGCTCTTATGGAAATGTAATTCAGCCAAGGGTTTCTTACTTTGGCATGACCACACTTCAATATAATCAGCATTAGAATTCCACAACTTGAGCATTAGTTAGTCGTTTTAAAGTTTCTCCTAAATATCCAAGATTTAATAAAATATTGATTTGGTTGATTCTACGAGAAAATATGTAAATATCCAAAAAACTACCAATAATTATATGTGCTACTTAACACTTGAAATGCAAAAAGAAAATGTACTGGTTGATCAACCATGCAGATTGCGTAATCTTGATTAGAGATATAGGGGTAATACTTATGTTCATTTCTGCCTATGTGACTTTGGTAACTTAATTCAAAATTTGGTGTTTGGATGTTATGCTACTTTTCGAGGAGACTAAAAACTCCCTGCATAAAATTGAAAAGACCAAGAAACGAAAATAGCCCCGAAGAACATAAATTTTGTAGTCATCTTTCTATATCTGGCCACAAATTCGCTTCAAATCGCTTCAGTTGTTTAAGAATATATCACCAAAGGCGTCTTACCACACTTGCCGTCTTACCACACTTCAAGAATATTTTTTTAGCACGCAAAATGCTATTTTTTGATGGAACTCCGTTATATTTTTAGGAGCTATTGTTATTTTATGCACACCGAAAAAGGCAGTTTTGAAAATGAGAACAAAGAATAAGCCTCGACATGGCGTCACCTGGGAAGGAGCCCTATACAATAGAAGAGTGAAGTCACTGCATAAGCGGGATAAAAATATTCTTACTGGCGCTTAGTTTGAAATTGGCTTCTCTGCGCACTGAACTCACTCGCAGGCTACCCAACTTGACGCCAAATCCCTTTCTGTAAAGAGCATGAAAGGCTGAAAGGGTGAATGCTACATGTGGTGGCATTACTTGCATAGCCTGGGAAAAAAATTCCTGTGTATGTTAGCAAATTCTTTGAGTGTACCTAAAATTTATTTTTTTCGATTTGCAGATAATATCCCGTAGTCTATGCACACTACTTTGGGGTTTCTTTTGCAGAATTTGTACCACTTTTTTTAAAAAAATAAACATATCAAGTGGTGTCCGTATGTAACTTTTCAAGAAAGTAAACTTCCTTTTTTTTAGGTAATTGCTAGATAGAGCTATTCGCACATGAAAAAGATTTTACGAATGAATTCGGCCGATTTTTGGATTACAAGACTGGTTTTGAAATTTAATTAATATATACAATATTTAATTGTCAGTAGCATGGGAATATCTTTCAGAACCTTTACTCGTTCCAAAGTGCGCACAGGTGTTGAAATTTAAAGTTGTCAAGATGACATAAATCAAATCTTAAAAAATCTTACTTCTTCCAGCAACATGCACAGCGCATCCTCATATTATTTTTTCCGCTACATGCTTGCGAGATACGATGGAAGAATGATCATTTCGTTTTCTTCGATTTAAGAGTGAGAAGATTTTGTGTAAAAATGACTGTAAGAATTGGGATTCTTAATAATACCCAAAAATTTAGAGTGATTCAGTGTGAAATTCAAATCTCGAAGTATTTGTATCAATGACTTGATAACATTAGAAGCGGGGAGTTGTTCACTTTCTAGGTACAAATGACTTATCTCGATCTGTTTCATCTGTGCAGAACGGAGATTTAGGTGTTTCAGCGCCATGCAAGGGCTGTTCAAAATACATATACCAGAAGAACCTAAAAGATAGAAACGAAGGAGAAACTCATAAAATATGAAATAAATGAAAGTCTCTTTGTTTATTTGAAAAAATATATTATCGTAAAAGCAGGTATAATCTCATTAAATATAATTTTGCTCTTTCTCTCTGCATCTTCTCTAGAATCCTAGTTGGGGCAATGATCTGCATGCGTGATATGGCAAGCAGCCGCACGGCTTTGACGAGGACAAATTTACTATCCTTCAAGATGAATGATAAAGGTTGAGCGACTGTAACTTGCCCATTTGCGTAGTTCAATTACAATCTTTCTGACAATGAAAGTTGAAAAAGTTTGCTCTAGCTGCAAAATTCGGTGAAGTTCGTTAGTGGATTATTGGAAGCTTAGTTAACGTTGCTTATATTTTGCCGTGTTGGTACCACTAGTAGATACAGTCAATAGCCCAGACCGGTTACGAGACAGCAACTATATGTCACTGAATTCCCTGGTCACAAAATATTTTGACAATCGAATTCTACCTCAAGTTATTTAGATTCTAGCAAGCTTGATATTTGATAAAGGTTCAATCCTTATGATTGGCTAGCTTCATATTTTGTCAAAGTCTGTGATTTGTGGAACATGTGGGATTTTCATTGCATTGACTGATGAATCAGGCGAAATCCTCGTACCCAAGTTACAAGGCTCTCTTTTCAACAAGATTGGGAATATTCAAGGTAAAATAGGTCTAAAAGCCCTAAATATTCATACCGTTGATTAGCAGAGACGCAGTGCTAATTGCCAGAAACTTTTAACGATGATTTAATTGGTTATTTTTTACATCTTAAGTTTAATCACCTAATTATTAAAAACAATTAGCATGTTCATACATTAGTATTTTATTATTTTGAGGATGGAATCAATTTGCGCAGTGGGCATCCCGATTAGCCTAAGTCAAAAAAAAATAATAATACATATTCTAAAAAATTTTTCTCCACACAGTGAGCAAAGTGCATACGGCATGAGAAATTTCTTCTCCCGCAGAGCCCAGTTAAAATATTCTCATTACTTTGAAAGGTGAATTAAGAATAGAATCACTTATCATCGCACTATTCTACTAGAAATCTGCATTCCATTGTAAACAGCAATGAGAGATTTACCAATGATCAATACATTTGACATCTTCTACGTTCAGATCATTAAATTTATTTTCAAATTTAAATAACTTGACACATTTAGAAGTGCATAAAAAATAAAAAAGTGATATGCAGCATATGTGTCCACGGCTCTGGGCAACACGCATGGACGTTCTTTAATTCTGTAATTTCTATATGATAAAATACTCTGATCATGTAGTGAGAGGGTTTATAATCCAATAAAAGATGCCGAGTCCACCTACCAAGTCCAGTCTACTATCGTCTTTGTGTTAATTTCTGTTCACTCTCGCTTTTTAATTGGACATCTTGAGAATGGAACAGCTGTTTAAACCCTTTTTACTATTGTATAAACCCTTTACTAGTGTCACACGAAACATTTGATGTAAGCAACTTTTAGAATATTCACTTTTCAAATTCTGTCTCATCGATCTATTCATGGAGAAGTGTCGATATTATCTTGCAGATCATCTGAACTTCGGCAATAAAAGTCAAAGACTTAAGGGAAACCTTAATAATATTTCCTTGGCTGTCTGCCCATTTATCTTCCTCTAATATTTCATAACCATTTCAAAAAAATTCAGGTGAACTCTTCGGTCAAATCCTTGCTGAAAATTACCCGTATTGGCGAGAATAATGCCAATTCTCGTATGACTTCATATACGAATATGCGAGTATATTTAGTCATACATCACTTGGTGGCTTTTTTTCTGCAGCAAAATTTTGATGCGTCCGTATTGCATGCACTGTCGCCAAAAAGAAATTAGAGCAAGTATCGCATACAATATTTTTTAACCCTTTTTCGCATCTAAATATTTTTTCTCTTGGAATTAAATGCAGTGCGGAGATGGCATCAGACCTAATGCAGCATACGGAGGCGCACCCTTCTAATGGAAAAAGAAAAAGAAACTAAAAAGATCAAAGAACATTTGAAAGCTTTTGGTGACATGATAATAAATAAGTGAGAGTTTCTGTGGATATTTTTCGTGGAGAAACCTCGTGGAATTTCTTTATCTATCTAGAAGAAATGCGAATATTGAGACTCTCGTATATACTTGTCTCTACTTATTTAGCAGCCGTTGTTAGCCTGGCTAACATTCCAGGATGTTTACCTCCGGGTTCAAGTATTACGGCACTTGGATTCACGGCTAAATTTTATCCATATGCCATAGGAGATCTTGTAACTATGGCATCGTTGGCTTATGTCCTGGGTGGATATAAAGCAAATCCGGTGATTGCGACAGTGACAGGAGTTACAAGTCCCGACTTTAACGTATGGAATGGGGTTTCATACTATCCTGCAGTTGGTACCTCCACAATTTACGGACAAACTATAACATTTACCAACTTCACTTTGGAATTGACTGGGTACTATTTTGCATCAACGACTGGTACATACACTTTCAGCTTGGTCTCAACTGATGACTCGGCTGCAGTGTTTTTGGGTGACGGACCTGCATTTGACTGTTGCGACTCAACATCATCCACTCTTTCTTCCGAGTTTATTTTGTTTAACTCAAAGGCTTATGGAGTCACCGCTACAACAATAAGTGCAAAAGTTCTGCTTGCTCAAGGTACCTATTACCCTATTAGAATTGTCTACAATAACGTTTTAGAAAATGCGGTTTTGAATTTTCAAGTAACTAATCCAGGTGGAACAACAGCGACAACCTTTTCAAATGTTTATGCTGTCTCGGATACATCTGCTGTGTGTACTGCGGCCCCCGTGACTTCCACTTACTTTCAAATGCCAACTTTATTGACTACCTCATATGCAAACATTGCTGCGAAGACGACCACTACCTATACAGATACAACTTTAGGACAGATAGTGATTAAGGAAATTGACCCCTACGTCACAAAAACAGTCACATCAGCAGGTACAATAAAAACCACTACAACAGTGTCTCCAGCACCAACAGATTCTATTGAAACTGTGATAGTTTATACTTCTGCGGCGAAAATAACTACTGTGTCTTCCACATGGACAGGATCTGTCACTTCGACATCAATTGGCTCGTATAATGCTGGAACACTTACCGTTGTAGTTGATATACCAATTCCAACAGTAACAGCTACTCAGATTTGGACTGGAACTACCACATCTGTTAGTACTGTTACTGCCACAATTGGTAAGACAGCAACAGTAATAAACTATTTACCAATTCCAACCACAACGGTGACAAAAACATGGACAGGACTCTCAACAACTACAACCACGTATACAGCAGGTACAACTGGCACTGTAACAATTGAAATTGATGTGCCCACTCCTCTGACACTTGTCACTTCGACATGGACTGGATCAGGAACAACTACTACAACGTTGACATATACAACAGGAGGAACGAAAACAATTGTGGTCGACTTACCTATTCCCACATCAACAATTACGAAGACGTGGACAGGAATCGGTACGACTTCCACAACTTACACTGTGGCACCAGGTGGAACTGCCACGCTTGAGATAGATTTGCCTATTCCAACGTTGACAACAACAAAGACATGGACAGGAATTAGCGTTACCTCCACGACCTACACTGCGACACCAGGTGGAACTGCTACGCTTGAGATAGATGTACCTATTCCAACGTTGACAACAACAAAGACATGGACAGGAATTAGCGTTACCTCCACGACCTACACTGCGACACCAGG